CTTGAATCCTGTACTGTTATTATCATACATTGATTTGTAAACTAAGTTGTTGAATGGCGAAATGTTCATTTTGTAACACCTTTCTTTCGATTGTGGATTCTACAATAAATCTTCAAATTTTGAGTTACCCCAACCCTGCGCCCGGACCTACAAAATCCAAACCTTTCTTTGAAATTGTATCGACATTATAAAGCAACAGGATTGCCTACCTGTGGTTGCCTTCTGTATCCAGGAAACGGGTTGATGAACGAACTCAAGCGTGGACCACCGATCGACCGCAGCGACGTACAATACAGCGTAAACAGTTTGCAAAATCTCACCTGAGAGTTCAATACCGTGCAATGACGGAAGCTGCATACCGCTTTAATGGTTAAATTTGTCATTTTCCCGTGACATCAAACGATTATTGAAAGCCATGTTTTTTCATTTCGAATGAAAACACGCATTACCGTTCAATCCGGCTCAGTGAAATTCAACACGGAAACGTTAACTCAAAAAGGGACCTCTCCGACGGAAATGAGCGTTCGGTACTAATTTAACATTCTTATCATACACTAAATGCCCAACAAATGTAGCCAAATCAGAACTCGCTTTGAAAATGCATGCGAAGGGTACGTAATTATAACAATTATTATAAAAACATTTTCTGAATTAGTTATGCTTAGCTGGGATCAACTCTCGTTCGTGGTATGACCTGTTATACCTTTCGTTGGTTGAGCCCTTATCCGGGATTTAAACCTGCACCCTCAGGAGTCGCGTCAGGCGAATCAACGCCGGAAAACACAAAGTCAGCTGTCTAAAACCACTAAGCCATGGCAGTTTCAACAAGAATGCGCTATATACACCAGACTTCTAAAACGGTGGTTTTCAGGTATTCATAAATCTTTTCAGCGAGTTCAATCAACCGCAAAGGACGGTACCAGCGGCATCTGTGGACTCCCAGGGTGTGAATATCTAACTGGCAATACACAATTCTCATTCGAATTAGCGTGGCTCGGGGCTGAAGCTCTGGTTTTACGTTCTAAAGTCCCTGCGGTACCCTGCAAAATATATATTTCCCATTATATTACATCTGATTATATTGTGCATGCATCAACCATTGAATCCATCTAAGCAAAAATATCAATTGACAATGTCCAGTTTCGGCGATAAGGCTTTGCTTGCAGTCCCCGAACAAACATCTCTCTAAACGCGTTTAATGCGCGATCTTGGTAGTCGATGAAGTAAGTCTTCACCGCAGCGGTAGACGCCTGAGCGGTACAGTTTAAATATTTTTCACAAAGGGAACGCTTGATTTATTGGAAAACAGAAGTTCTGTCGTGAAAGCGGGTCTTCGTAGATGGCGTCACCCTGGAATGCTTTATCCGTTTTGATCTAAACATCACAAAGAGGTTAAAGTTTTATTGGGCTTCTTTATTCGGTTCATTTACTACCTTGATGTGGAGAGTTCTGTCTTTAACACAAACATACTTCTACCTCCTCCTGTCGTGCGGCATTGTAGACTTGTATCCCGCTCAATCTTTATGCACGTGTTATAGTCCAAATATTTTCACCAATATCTCAAACATAATAACTATGATATCTAAATGTATATAAATTCACAAATGTACCTGGTACGTGGTTCTTCCTCACACAAACGAGAGGACTTTCATTCGTTATACATACCTGGTAAGTATAGTATTATACCGTGGTGATTGTGTAGATAACTGTTCACACTACAGCTACCGCCGCATGTCACTTCCAGAGCGGATGCTGACTAATCGATGATAATCCGCACCAGTAAGTCGGCGGTCGGGAATCGAAACGTTTGGCTAAACGAAACGGCAGCCTTTGTGTTTTTATTATCACCGTCCGGTCATAACGATATACGTTTAGGCGTTCTATATAGACTTCGCATGTATCAACCAGGAAATGTCCATGAAAAATAACGAAGGGATAATGGCATACTAATTATAATTGCGTTCTCCGATATGTAAGCAGGTGCAGTTGACTGTTGAAGCCCACTCTGTGGAATTCGAATAAACCCTTGGGAACGCAGCCCTCCAAGTGTTTCCATCAGTATGTCGCGCTGTACTTTTACAACTCTGAGTCACTCTATTGTGAGGAAAATCACAATAAAGGTACATTTGTGTACCTATATGTACATCTTTGAATATCATAGTTATTATGTGTGATATTGATGGAACATTTGCACTGAAAATGCCGTTTTATCCAAATACAAAGAGGCTGTCTGTGTTTCGTTACTGGTCACCTTTGATCCATAGCCTCGGTCTGCACTATTCAACAATGTTCATTAGCTACCCTACACCCCTAACCCCTTCTTAACCTCATTGCTGGATATTCAGAAGTGACAGAATTTCCTTTGCATTAGAACTCCTCGATTATATATTCCGTTTTGATATACACTCACCATACATATACGCAGAATTGCGAATGCAAGAGAAGCATTCAACGGGATCGGGTGGCCAGGCTCGCTGACTTGGTTGACACATGTCATCGCATCCCAGTAGCGTAGGACGACGCTCGAGCCAGCCATCACTGGACTGTCAGTTATCTCGATTTGCTCGACTACCCATAGCTGAATAGATTCTGCAAATACAAACATAACATGGTGAATAATGTTTGTTCCCGCTTCTGGTTTGCCGTTTCCTTTATTAACCCTGTAATTTCCAGCTTCTTTATTCGCGTACTGATCAATACGATGAGGCGTTGCAAAGGCGACTATGCCTGTCGTAAAAGCGGCGACTAACGGGATCGTACGTTTCTTGCCGACCTTACTGGGATACGTCATCGGTCTCAATTGCGTAGATCGATGCTCATGCTGTTGATCACTTCAAATTGCACCATCCAGACTCGATTATTTTCAGACCGCCCGCCATATAGCTTGGAGCATGCTGAGCGTGCGTACCCAACTCACCAAATTCACTACCATCACCTCTATTGAGGTTGCATTTCACATTGCTACGGTGAACTGATCATTTAGGCTGGCTAAAATAATCGATAACCGAAAACACGTCGATAGGAAAGATTTCATTAATGATTGTTAAAACAAGTTTATTTTTCCGCCACAATATACAAATTTATAATTCCTATTCACATGATCTGCTTCTAAAATTATGCTCCGGTGTGGACGTAAATTATATTCAGGATGTTTTGTTAATAATCCATGTAAACATGTGACCACCTTGGCCGATGTGAAATAGCATTACCTCTTCGTCAGACATTGCCTTGCCCTAACGGCAAAGATAACGTCTCCTGATATTTATCGATAACTTCAACGTTGACATTTCAGTTAACGACTACTTCCATCGACTATAACTGGCAGATTACCAACAGCGGCTTTATATCTCTAGAAGTCAACCCCGTGGTGTTTCAACCAATACATGAAAGTGTCCCACGTGACCCGCGAAAAATCCGGACTAGAGTTGATCTTCAGTAAACTCCATGCCTCGTCGTAAGATAGACCAATAACGTGATCAGTGGTCAGCCTTCCCACGAATTTTGGTTGATTTGGTTGACTACATGTCATCGTGGTGTGGCAATGCTGCCAGTCACCGGACGGTCTGGTCTAAAACTCGAATATTTCAGCAGACCGCCATGTGAAGTAGCTGGAATATTGTTGAGCGCGGCGCATAACTAAACTCACTCACCTACTAGGGAAGTGCCTACGAATGAACAATCCGGCACAAATGTGTATAACTCAGTCAAATTGGTAAAATATGTTCATTTTGAAAAGATCAATCAGACATTTCCCAATTTCGGTCTCCCCTGGGGAAACAGTAAGTTTTTTCAATTGAATATTTTGACCGGTTTATATTCTCATCTATAAAGCGCAGTCATGACATTGTTATTTTCAGTTTCATTTGCTTTACATCCCGCACTGTCCGGTTTGATTTGTCATCATCATGGATCACACGGTTTAACCGGACTCTGTGTGTAGTGTGGATAAGTCACAAACCGTGGATACGGGAATATGGAAAACATTTCCAACTCCCACCAGTTTTGCAATCTCTGAAATTTCCTCGTAAAGGCGCTATCGACACCAACAATTTGATGTATCTTGTCATCATTGATTACACGGTATATTTAAATTTCAACATAAGTTCCTAAACATCAAGCGCACTAGATTAGTCAGCAATGTAAGGATATCTTCTATCAACAATACATGGAAGCGGATCATCATTCACGAGTTTGCTTCGTGGAGGACTCGGTTTATGCCGTCCTGCCAGTCGCTTCCCATTGGTTGATGCATGGGGAGAACTTGGCCTTAAACAGATATTTGTCAATTTGACTTTATCTTCCCAGCATGTTCACCCAGTGCATAGCAAGCAGAGTATGAGGAGCGGACCTGATTGAACCACGCTTTGGTAGGTAAATATTCCAGTCGGCGAGTGGTGAGTTTATTTACGCCGCACTCTAGCAATATTCCAGCTTTTCGCTACGTAAACTCCTATTCACTCAAAGTAAAGTTCTGACACGAATCGACGTCTCGCCAGATATTCTGTTAACTATTATCACCAGATTTCTATTCGATAAATCATATATCGATAGCCAGCCTAGTGGGTAGCAAAAACCACCCTTTAGCAATAGCAACACAGCGGAATAACCAGAAATGGGCTTCAAACAGTGTATCCGGGCGTGAAATCGAACCCGGGATTTCGATTTCCATCACGAAAGTTAACGCGTTAACCAGCAAGCTGCCCACCCTAGCGTTTTCTGGTAAATAAACTGTAATTTCAAACCTTGCGCGAGTTGCCAATGCGACGTTCACTGTCAACATTTCTGTGACTCCAGGTACGTCATCACTCTTGCCCTGGCATTGCTGGTGGTGTGGCGGCAAAACCCAAATCGAAATGGCGCCAGAAACCTCCGCAGCAAAACGCCCTGAGCGTGAGGTCTTTTCCGTGCAAAGCGCCAGCTCAATTCTGGAGACCAAACGTGTCGGCATGACCACGGTATACCTCCAAACGTGTAAACTCCTGCCCTGCTTCAAGCCTCAAAATCCGCTGTACATCCATTTGATCCTTGACCTTAGTAGAGAAACTCCTCTTCCCTCATCCTGAGAAGCTTGTGGTCGATCCGGTCGCAGAGTGTCTCCTTCCCACCTATGTTGATGGGAAAGAGTACATTTCCCAGTCTTGTTACAAAATTCAGTTAATATTACACAAGCGTTCTGAACATTATCTCTTTATGAGACACTCTGTCACTTCGAGCAAGCAAAATCCAGCGAAAGCATCCAACGAGTGCCGTAACCAAGCCAGGCAGTTACCCGAACGATGCGTGGACGTCATTATGCTCGAACTTCTTCTGTTGCCGCCCTGATATTTCAAAATTCAATACATTTTCTTAACTCCATCAAAGTGAAGCTTTTGACCAAAATGCCAACCGAAACAAAACATTAGTTTGTGCGATCAGTCCAAATCAATTCCCTATTCCTGGGAATAGTAGTTTTTTCAATCGAATACACTTCCTTAATCTTTATATTTCATCTGATAAAGTAAAGCCATTGCGACAGATTTATTTCCCTCTCTGGCCTTGCTTTACATCCAGCATCAGTCTTCGTTTGATTTGTGTCATCATGGATGTACTTTCGGTTTCAACCTGACTCAGTGAACGAATAAGTCACAAAACCCGTGGACAGCTGAATATGGAAAAACATTTCAACCCTCACTCGCTCTTTGTAACTTCTCTCAATTCTCCCAAAAGTACACTGGCACTTCAATAATTGAAAAAATGCTTTGATAAAGGCCGTTTCTCGACTGGTCACCGGTATCACATGTACGTTTCTAATGGAGTATCTATTCAATTTTGACCAGGATTATTGTCATTTTGCAAAGTATTCCAGTTAGCGGCGATGAAGTTCTCAGTTAAATTCGGAAGATTAATGAGGCAGAACTCTTCTTACCATTACTGTGACGCTCACGAGCATTGATAAGGCGCCGAGTGTCCGGGCGAAACACAACCAGGCGAAAACTGCCGGCCTTGACAAAAGTTTATATGCAAAATTGGAATCATATTTGCCGCCCTGTTCGTGAGTCATCATTCCTTGGCAAGGTGACAAGGCGGCGGGGTAGCCTTAGGGTTAAAGCGTTCACTTATCGCACCGGAAGACCGGGGCCCATTTCATATGGGTGAATAAACTTTGGCGTAAAGTCTGTATTCTCGGTGTTCTCCTCTGTGATATTTGCTGAAATATTTGCTTTAAAAGTGGCTTAGTAAAACCAACCTACCTACCAATTCCCACCTTCCTTTCTCCGTGATAAGTACGATTGATCGAACGGTCTGGGAGTTGTCAACTCCATTCGTTCGCTTCGGCCCTCCGTGCCGGCGGTGGAGGAGAAAATTCAATTTTAACGCCACGTGTTTGAGAATATTTCGCTCTGGCGGCGACATCGCATGCGTGTATGTGTGACAGGTTGCCTTTGGTACTTTCGGCCTAGCTCAGTCGGCGGTTGCGAGTATTAGTGTCTTAATTGGAGATACCATTATGCCGTAAAGCTAAGGAATAACCCTTTTACCTTCCAGAGCCATTAATTTTATAATTCGACTCCGAGTTTTCGACCAGTCCTTGTTGTACCCATTAACGCTTGAGCCGGTGTAGACGCCAATCAGTACCATATTTTAACGTCGTCTGCGGTAAGGATGCCTGTTTCGATCGAAACCGAAGACCTTCCGCTCTCCGTCTCTAACTACCTTCCAAAGTTGCCATGGCGGACCATTACATTCCATAAACGAGTATATGCGTGAATCACTCACAGCCTTATGTATCCCGCCACTGCAGCCCGGCTGAAGTAGGGCTTTGATGTCCTGCTGTTTTACGTCGCACGTGCAATATGTCAGCTGATTTAAGCGGCGGTCTGTAAATAATCAAGTCCAGACCAGACAATCCAGTGATCAAATGTTACAACAATCGCTCTGGATGAAAAAGTGTCAACTAAGAAAGCGAGCCTGACCACCCAATTTTAGTGGTCAGGACGATAAGCATGGGTAGCAGAAAAACCAGTTTTAGCCCGGATCTTCAAGGGCGGCATGGCCTAGTAGTTAACGCGTTCCCACCTGGCGCCGAAGATCAGGGTCTGATCGTCCACCAACGGTACAATGTGTGATGACCTTGTTTGAGGTGAGGTGAGGTGAACTGGGCTTGGCCGAATCGTCGTATTCTGGAGAATATTTCGCCTATATGACGACGTGCGCATGCGCGTATGCGTGCATGCGGCCGCTTGTACCTCCTGCCCAGACCGAGCCGCAGCAGTAGCATGAATCACCCCACTCAGACACATTATACTGACTCCGAGCCGACCAGTCCTTGGTGTAAATCTAATAATGCCGAGCGCCAGGCAGGGACCAACAAGTACCATATTTTAACGTCTTTAGGGGTGACGCGGTCGGGGATCGAACTCCGCGACCTTCCGCCTCCGCGACGCTTCCAACTACTACACCACGGAGGCGATCTGACCTTGTTTGATGTCATCCGATGATATTAAGCAACATTGAATAAAGCGTCGTAAATTCATACTCACGTATTCACTCAGTCACCTCCACTGGACAACAGAGGAGCTGAAAGATTCAGCTGTTGCTGTGGAGGATGAAACAATGTCTACCTGCACGCAAACCCATACGCTTGTTCGTCCAACTCGCTGCCAAGAACAACCAAATCGCATGGTTCTTCTTTTCGGCTTCGAACTCGGCTAACGGTCCCTCTCCATGATAGCGGGCAAACTCTGCCACCCCCCTCTCCTCAGTCCGTCCAGCCCCCTGCTTGGTGCCTAGTGATGGCGAAGACACTTGGTTGGAAGGTGTTCATGGCTCCGCCACATCCCTCTTCACCATGGGCTGCTGGGAGTTCCTGTTGACAAAACATATGATTCAGTGAGTGTGTGGTTGGTTTGGTGAGTGAGTGAGTGAGTGAGGAACTTGTTTTGAAAGTGGTTAACCACAACGCTTTAACCACAACGCTGTCCCCAGCTTTAAGACTCTCGCCGTGCTTCGGTTCGGTGTCAAAAAGTGAGTGAGTTTAGTTTTACGCCGCTTTGAACAATATCCCAGCATTATCACGGCGGGAAGAATTGTTCGGCGCACACATTGTGCGCTTTAACCGGGTCTGACTGAACGCTTTTAACCCTAGACCTCCGGTGTGTCTAAGGAACGTATGTACGATACTCCACTGTCCTAAATACTGGTGGGATCTTTAGTTGTTTCACGCTGCATTCAGCAGTATTCCATGTGAAGGCAGTCTGTCAATCCAGTGACTGACATCATGAGCATCGATCTACGTAACTAAGATACGATGGCATGAGTCAAACAGATCAGCGAGTCTGACCACCCGATCCCGTCAGTCGCCTCTTTACGACAAACATGGGCAGCTGAAGACTAATTTAACCCGGATCTTGATGGTGGTCGACGTTGAAGAGTATCGACGTACTCTAATCGAGGGTGAGACTTGATTGTACACGCCATACTGACCCTCGTCTGGCGGGACATCTCGTCGAAGGTGCGCGGAAGGGAGGTCGTGGGTGGCGGTGTCTCGGTGAGGAAGATGGCGGTGAGGCTGGCGGTGGTATGTGATGAGGGTGAGGATACAGAAGAGCCACCTGACGGAAGCAAGGAAACGCCCAGACGGAGACCTGGGAGGATTGACCGTCATCATCCGCAAAGGGGAGGGTTAAAACAAATACGGAACAAATTCAATTTCATGTTAGCAATGGTTCATGAAGTGAAATCGTTCCGATTATCAAGGTCCACATTAGCGATGCCTGGGTGTCTAGATTAACAGGGTCTTGAGTATGTACAATTCTCAGTTTATGGCTTGGTGCCAGATAAAACAACAAAATGGCGCCGGCAATGGGCGTTTGCCCACGGACAGGATCAATCTGATGTACGATACGACCAATGGCTGGAAGTACCTGGCAGCTAACGGGGGCATTCATTGTTTTAAAATGTCTCCGTAAAGTCTTCAGAGAAATTCACTTATATTGACGTTATCACTGAACACTCATATCTTTACATAAAATGACATATTCTTGCAAAAATATTTTTGATTGCCAAAAGAAGAACTTTCTGTCACAACACGGGCTTTCCGCAAACTCAAATTGGAGTCACGAGAGTAGGAGAATACCGGAATCGCACGGAAACACCCGAAGGTAAGAGAATACTCACGTCGCTGGACGAGAATACAAACACACAGTGTACAACAGCTTCCCAATAATAACACCCGTTACAGTCAACATCACTGACTCGTTGTACTGGAGTTATCTTCAAACGGGCTAAATTTGACAATGGCGCGATGATAAAACAGCCAATCACAAGCCACATGACAAATATCACGACCCACAGTCCCCAGTGAATGGAGTAAGCAGGATGTACCAAGGTTCCTGATTGATAACGGTCGGGTGGCCGGTACAGGATGCGAAGACCAGCTAACATGAACGGCTGGTGCGTGAACTTCACGACCTTTGCTCGTTTTCTGGAGTTGATAGTCAAATGCGACAAGGCAAGGTCTGATTGCTGGAAAATTGAAATTTAATTATTAACCACAATCATGATAAGACCAGACATGAATTGAATCTTGATTGAAGTGAAATTATTGTCGCAAGATTCAAACTTGAAATTTTAGTAATAACACTTTGATAGAAATAAACTTTGAAAAATCGTGGAAATGAGTATTTCATTAGAGGTTCTGCAACTCTGGTAAAGAATAATCAAGCTGAGTGAGCTTAGATTTACGCCGCTTTGAGCAATATTCCAGCAATATCACGGCTGGGGACACCAGGAATGGGCTTCACACCTTGTACCCATGCGTCGAACCCTGGTCTTAGGCGCGACGAGCGAACGCTTTAACACCCCACTCAATGGTTGGAGACAACACACCGACTCAGTGCCGACCAGATATTGCTCCATCCCTGACAGGGGTAATACGCCAATCTTTAACGTCTTTGATAAGACGAGGCCAGGGATGAAACCACTGAATTTCAGCCTCTACAGGCAAACGCCTTATCCACTAGACCACAGGACGGTCCTGAATAGGGTCCGTGGGTAGGCCACGGTACTATCACGAGACCTTTAGTACGTCCAGTGATAAAACAACGTGCTTCATACCTTTCGAGTGGTCGGCTGGTTGTCAGTTGACATTAAGGAACCGATAATTTGCAGGAATAACAATTTCCCATCTAACCATCCCCAAATTAGCTACCTATTACAACTGTCAATATCTATGACAGTCAAGCCATGGCTGTACACTTGGTCCGGTCTTAGTCAAGTCATATTTGGAACCCAAACTGGTTCTTTAATATACGCTTGTGACTGGAAATCTGGTACCGGAAGTAAGCTGGGTCCCGTTTTGCATATCGCAAGTTGACGCGCGCAAAGGGAGCGGGGAACCAGCTTAGTACCGAAAGCAGCGCCTCGCGAGACTTACAGGCCCTATTACCCACAGAATCGATCGACAAACGTAGTAGCACTAACGAAAACCACAGCGAGAGAGACCCTTAAGCGTTGAAGGACTTCATATAGTACATAAATTGTTTGCAGGAAGTTACACGTGTGTGAGCCTGCGTGCTAGTGATTCTGCTTTTCTACATTATTGTCCAAGCAGGCATTAAGTAAGTAAAGCAAACAAGCCTCGTCTGGGCTTACGTTATTGATCAGTCTTCCGAAACAAGCCCGTCCCATTTTCCTGGCTCCACCTCGTAGCCAAACTCTGCCGTCGTAGACCTCGTGTATGTTGTAAGTGAAGTTGAGACGACGCGCCAGCTCGTCGAGGATGTCGACCAACATCCCTTCGTACTTGGGTCCTCGTACGGAGACTGAGAGGACTCTCCATCACAAACGGTGGCTCCTAGAACGGAAAACATCCACAAGGACTTGATGACAAATAACTTCAGTATTCTTCTGCATCGAATTGTATATTGATCTCCACCCATCAATCATTTTAAAGATTAATATCAAGTTTTTAAAATCTAAGTGGAATAAGTGAGTTTTAGTCACGTCGGCAGTATTTCAGACGTACAGTTACAACATGTTAAGGACCATGGGGATTTACGGTAATTTTGCTTCCTCCATGGACCCCAGCAGGATTTTACACCATCACTTATATTACCATCACTAAATTATATAGAATACATTTTACACAATAAGTGAAAAACATTTGTATAACTAGTACTTTGTTGGCGGATTATAGTTTTGACGATTTCTTGCCTGCCTGTTGGTTGAGGGTTGAGGGGGACACGTAAATATATACGGATGGCTAAAGGCCACTTTGTTGAAGGAAGCAATGTCGAAACAGACTTACCAGCAGAGAGGGCCACTTCCATGATGTTCACCACAGACACCCTGTGAAAAGCGCCAAGGAAAAAAAGTGACCATATATACGTGGAGGTAAACTTAAATTGTGGCTGTCAAATACGATACTCACGTTTTCAACTGGCGTAGTTAGAGTGAGTTTAGCCTTTACGCCGCACTCAGCAATATTCCATCTATATGGGTCCTACTAATCATCACATCTGCACCAGACACCCGTCCTTGACGTTATTAGGGGTGAGTTGGTGAGTTTAGTTTCTTTAGTTTTGGCAGCGGTATGTAACAATCGAGTCCCGGACCAGACAATCCAGTGATCAACAGCATGGAGCATCGGTCTACGATGACATGTGTTAAGCAAGCCAGCAAGCCACATACCTGATCCCGATAGTCCCTCTTGACAAGCATGGGTTGTTGAAGACCAATTCTAACCTGGATCTTCACCTGTTCCTGACATTATCAGCATCCGACTATGCATCTGTGATATGCAACAACCGTGTTAACCAGATGAACTGGATCCCGTTAGTCGACTCTTATTCTGCGTTGATGAAGACCAATTCCCAGATCAGGAATTGTTTATCAGGATGGTTCAAAACCATGTTTCTGTCAAGATTCAGATTTAAATGGACTCCTGCATGCACGTATCACTCATACGCTTGAGCACTCCATAAAGTCTGTTTGTTCTACTTACGTTTTTGGTGAAACTTGTGAAAATAATGAAGCATATGGAAAACAGCGACGACATGTTTCTGAAATGCAAACGCAGAGGTGATGTGGATTCTGCCACACAACAACAATATACAGCTGCATATAAATATTTTTCCGATGATAGCCACTGAGTAACTGATATTGACACCATTCGTTAACGCTCAGCTGTTTTAATTGGAAACGTCCTCATTGCCAATAAAAGGTGTCCCTCTGTGTTTATGTAAAACATCCCTTGCCAATTGGCACAGAGAGTGAATGGAAGCACCGGCGTGTTATCCCATTTCCCAAACCCATTCTGATTTGATACCCTTGGCGGGCAAACTATAATTGAAAACACACAATATCGATGTAAGTTTGATCATTTGTATTAATAAGGTGAACGGTTCACCACCCGTTTGTAAAAACTATTCACTTGACATTTTTTTGTACGGTGTTCAGACATGCACGAAGCAATGGTCCAGATGTCGGTCAATGAATAATGAACACTGGGCTAATGAATCTTTATTGATCTCTACAGTAAATGATCGTATTGGCTTTGTTTCGCCTAACGCTGCACTCAGCAACATGCCAGCAACATCCCAGCAATGTGGTCACCTATATAAATTCTCTTCTAACAAACTGATCTCTTCGTTGACTGCGGTAAACGTCCTAACAAAAGACCCGTGAAGATCCGGGGTAAAATAGGTCTTCAGCAACCCATGTGCTTGCCATAAAAGGCGACTATGCTTGTCGTAAGAGGCGACTAACGGGATCGGGTGGTCAGTTTCGCTGACTTGGTTGACACATGTCACCGGTTCCCAATTGCGCAGATCGATGCTCATGCTGTTGATCACTGGATTGTCTGGTCCAGACTCGATGATTTACAGACCGCCGCCATATAGCTGGGATATTGCTGAGTGCGGCGTAAAACTAAAATCACTCACTCACTCCTAACAAAAGGCAAGTATTTCAGTGTAAAGAAAAACTAAAACTGAACTACGAAATGTTGCAAACATTAAAAAATCAGAAATGCATTGTTTTCTAAAACGCAAAACATGTCTAGCAAAATACTACAACAAGGTCAGAAAATTACATTGTTAATTAAAATTAAAATTTATAAAATGACAATGACAACAGAGTTGTTCATTGGGTTATATCAACACAGACACATTTAGAAGGGAAAAACGATTTCCAGGTCGAGGTCAGCTGTCACAGGGCGTTTTCTGCACGAAAACGACATTTCATTGTCCTCCTCTCGTTCTTGTGACGATGACAACTAAATTAACATCGCTTGAATTTTCTGTACAATTTCCCATAAATCCCCAATGCTCTGTTCCCTCACATTTATCAGGGGGCGTTGGGGTAGCCTTGTGGTTAAAGCGTTCGCTCGTCACGCCGAAGACCCGGGTTTGAATCCCCAAATGAGTACTATGTGCGAAGCCTGTTACTAGTGTCCCCCGCCGTGATATTGCTGGAATTTTGTTAAAAGCGGGGTAAAGCTAAACTCACTCACTCACGTTTAACAGAACTGTTACTCATATAATGAATAAAGTTATCGCGACAATTATATTAACATCATAAAACTGAGAAAAAGGAATACTAGTTGAAATAGGTCCAGTTTTGCATGTTTCACATTAAATTTTGTTTTTGCCTCTATCTGGTTACCTCCCCTGTTGAGTTCATCCACTCAATTTGAGTGAGTGTGTGATTTTGTTTTAAGCAATACACCATTGGTAGTGAATGGGATAAGCGCCGTTGACTATGGAGCGACTCCCCTATATTATTGACATATTTTCCAACTCATGTAATAAATCTAAAGATTTCTTTGTAAATATAACAGAATAATGGTAATGTGTAAGCAAAATGTACTAAAACGGAAATGGGCTGCGCACGTTCTACCCATCTGTGAATCGAACCCCGGTTTCAGGGGAAACGAGCGATCGCTGTAACCACTCGGCTATCCCAACGCGCTATATATCAGATACGTTTGAAGTGAATTATGTTCAAGGTAAGAACTAAATAAACAAACCGCCAATTTTAAACAAAAAATCATAATTTTCGAGAGAAAACAACACAATTTTCAGCTATGTATCGTGAATGTTGAAGTGAGTGAGTGAGTATGGTTTTGTGCCACTTTCACAGCTATATCAGGCCGGGGCCACTGAACCGGGTTTTACCCTTGTGGGAAATCGAACTCAGGTCTTGAGCGTGACAAGTGAACGCTGTACATTGGCGGATCAAGAGGGGGTTTCAGGGGTTCGAAACCCCTCTTACCCCCCCCCCCACCCCACCCTTTGGAAAATGACTTCAGACCACATTGAAGATTTGTTTTGCGTTGACAGAGCCAATGGGGGTTCAGGTGGTTGGACACATCGACCCCCAACCCCTTTCAAAATTCCTGGATCCGCTCATGCTGTAAACCACTTGGCTACGTCACCGCTCCCCTGGAATGTTCAAGATGATATCGACACGGCTTCCGTAATAACCTGTTCAATTCTCAGTGAAATATACCGGATATGATCTATATACTAAGTGTGAAACAATTCGTCTTTTTTTCACCCAAAATGATGCCATGTCTTGCATCATCAACAGCAAGGTACCTCAGATTCCATAAATCTCTTTTCTCGGCCGCGTTCAAGATACATGCCAGGGGCAAACTTAAAGGTTTTGAACCTTTTAACATATTCCCTTGAAACCATGTATACATGACAAGGTTTGGTTTTCAGAGGGGATGATTTGCATGGTCGCACCAAGAGATTTCGTGCAATGTGCGTCCCTCAGAGGGTGTGGCAATGTCGGCATATTCGTGTTCCCTGGTGTGTTGTGGCTAGTGTGTGGCTAGGTGAGTGGGGTGAACGTCGCTTTGAACAGATTTCCAGTTTCAGCTTGAGGTCGGGGTATAGCCCGCAGTTGGACGTGGGTGCAACATCTGTTATGGGGGCCTAGTTGAATTGCGCGTGCGCCTAAATGTAAAATGGTATTGTTCTTTGTCGTTTTGTTTTGTTGTTTAACGCCGCACTCGGTATTATTCAAGCTATATGGCAGTTTGTAAATAATCGTGCAAGAAAGTGATCAATAGCATGAACATCGATCTATATATTAACACATTTGGGATACCGTGACATGCTTGTAAGAAGCGACTAACGGGATCGGGTGGTCAGGCTCGCTCACCTGGTTCACACATCTCATCTTATCCCAATTGTGTAAATCGATGCTCATGATATGATCACTGGATTGTCTGGTCCATACTCGATTATTTACAGACCGCCGCCATATAGTTGGAATATTTGCTGAGGACGGCGTTAAGCAAGAATCAAAGCAAAAACACATTCTTTTGTAAATTTTTCATGATTGTCTTTTCGTTAAAATTTAAGTTATATGTCTTTTACTCATTCCCGTTATGTTTTTGTGGTTCAGTATTTTTTTTAACTGTAATTCTCGATTCATAACATAGGTCACAGTAAGGAAAAGGAGACACGGAAACAGTATAAACATGCGATCTGCTCGTCGATAAAATTTAAGGAATATGTCTTTTACTCATTCCCGTTATGTTTAGTGGTTCAGTATTTTTAACTATAATTCTTGACTCATAAAATATGTCACAATAATGAAAAGGAGACAGGGAAACAGTGCATACATGTGATCTGCAGTTTGGTGTTTCACCCAGCAAGTGACACCTGACCTCAACCAACAAAACAATAGCGCAGGACGAACCCGTAACCTGAATATTTTACCTTACTTATTTCACAAAGTTTTAACAGTGTTTATGGATTTGGAAAGGGAGGTAACCGTATATCCAGCAAATTAATAGAGAAACATCGAAAACTGGAACTCGTGAACAAATAATGCATTTGAACGAGTATTTTTTACGACTGTTTGTGGGGCACCCAGAAAAGAGAGAGACTCTCTGCCTGACTTGTTATCACATCATACATTTACATTATCTTCACGGAACATATTCACAATCACATTTAATATATACATTGGGTAACTGCATGGCGGTAAACAGGTGTCAGATATGAAACAAGGAATGACTTGCGAAAGTATTTTTTTAATTGTTTAAGAACGGTTTGGTCACTACCTAATTGTTCGTTACGGTTATGATTCGTGTTGTGGTGGTGGTGGTGGAATTGGGTTTAACGTCGTGCTTGAGAATATTTCGCTCATATGACGACGTGCATGCGTTTTTAAATGTATGTGCGGCTGCTTGTACTAGCCTAGACTGAAGCTGGTTTTATAGTGCTAGCCCACTGACATACCATGCCGCAGTGAAGCATGAATACCCCACTCAGACACATTATACTGACTCCGAGCCGACCAGTCCTTGTTGTACCCATTAATGCCAAGCGCCAGGCAGGGACCAACAAGTACCATATTTTAACGTCTTTTGGTATTACGCGGTCGGGGATCGAACCTGCGACCTTCCGCACTCCGGGCGGACGCTCTAACCACTACACCACGGAGGCGGTCTCGTGTTGTGATTCTATAGTTACAGTGCTGAGGATTACGAAATATAGATACATCGGCAAAACGGACAGTAAACAGTTCGACCTTTTCCAGCCGTCCTTGAACTTCACGAGAATGACGGCAATTTTGTAACGTTCAACCATGCCACTGACACAACACATATACTTGTGTCAGGCAGAAACGTTTCTCCCCAAGGTACACATGTTCCCGTAAGATTGTTGATGTTACAGTTTAGACCACAAGTAATCGGGTCTTGTCAGGTATTGCATATTTTCAGCGACTGTTTATCATTTATTTAGTGTGGAGATTGGTTGGTTTTAATGTTTAACGCCACAACATTCCACCTTCATGATACGGCGGCGGTTCGTAATTAATCGAGTCTGACCAGGCGGTCCAGTGATCAACATCATGAGCATCGATCTACGCAGTCAACCAAGTCAGCGAGTCTCAACCACCCGATCCCGTTAGTCGCCTCTTTACGACAAGTATGGATTGCTGAAAGCCAATTCTAACCGGGATCTTCACGGGTAGAGTGAGTTAGTGGTTGAGGAACTTTCACAAACGTGCCAAGTAAACGCTTTAACTAATTACAGAAACACCCACCCTCACCCCCAGTTTAGGCCGAAAACATGGCGCCATGATATGGTGCCATGTGTCAAACCAAGTCAGCGAGTCTTACCACCCTGATACCGTTAGCATGGGTTAATGAATGCCGATTCTCTTAAACCGGATCTTTATGGTTAAGCATGGAGATAGAAGGGAAAGGACAGTTCATGAAACAAGGAAACAAGTTACTTTATACGCAGGATAATGATTATCGATACGTGCAGTTATCAGTTACCAAACCGGAAGTAATGGAGTACGGTCGCATGAACCATGCAGCTTCGGGCACGATGTGGCGGTGGGGTAGCCTAGCTATAGTGGTTAAAGCGTTGGCTCGTCACGCTGAAGACCTGTGTTCGATTCCCCACATGATTACAATGTGTGGAGCCATTTCTTTAGGAGATTCGACAGGCTTCATCGACTTTAAGAAAGCCTTTGATTTTGCTGACCGTAAGAAATTGCATTTATGTTAAATCGTATGTGTATTTCGGTTGTTTTTCTTCTTTGTTTTGTGTTTTTGGGGGTCGCTGATTTTTGTTTTTTCTTTGTCCGTTGCTTAACGGCACTTTCGACAATATTCTGGCTTTGTCACGGAGATCTGTGAAAATCGAGCCATGACTAGATAATCCAGTGATCGATGTTATGAGCATCTACCTGCGCGATTAATTCCGATCTGACTATGATCACCTTATACAATTAGTTGCCTCTTATGACAAGCCACCTTTAATAAAATTCATTTTCAGTTGATTGAACCCAATATTATTTGTATAAACAAACACTTGTTATCTGTGTATTTCGAGGAACTACAATATATTCACATTAATATTGAATATAGAAATTTACTCACCGATCTGTTGATGAATACTGCTCAACTATTATTAATAAACATCCGAAGCATATCAACAGCAAACTGGGGTGATCCATTTCTGTTGTGAGAGGGGTGTAAGGATGTCCCGATCAACAGCAACGTTGTGGGTCCGTGGGAAGATAGGCACAAAGAGTGAGTGAGTATGGTTTTACGCCGCTTTGAGCAATATTCCAGCAATATCACAATACAATGAAATCCGAGTAAGTGAGTTTAGTTTCATACTATTTTGTAGCAATATTCCAGCAATATCATGTTGGGGGATACCGGAAACGGGCTTCACACATTGTACCCATGTGGGTAATCGAACCCGGGTCTTCCGCGGGTATACTTTACTCACACAATACACAAAGTTTTTATTCATGGGCTGTTCCTAAATTATGTATAGGACGCTGTTTTGTTAGTAATCCATGCATAAATAAGTCACCACTCACCAGTGATGTGAACTATACAAACTTTCTTCAGGTTATGGGGACATTTTTGTTCAAAGTTACATCTCTGTTATTTATCGACAATCGATCGATATGTAATCAACTTCTATCGACCTCTATGATCTATATCGATAGCCAGGCCTACAAGCAAAGCACGTGTGTTCATTTTGTTTTACACACAAACTCTGAAGTGACTGCATATGCGGGATGGGGGAGGGGAGGTGTGTCAGGGTCCTGAAAGCTTATTAACTGCCCGTTGAAACTTTCGTGAAAATCGGGTGAAAATGAGCTGTGCACCCGCACACACACCCCACAAACCCCCAGCCCCGCATCTAAAGAATACGGTCGTAAAGATTGCACAATAGGTATAAATGATGTTTGGCAAAACGTAAACAATTATAAATAATGCATATGAACGATCATTATCATGCCATGTATCTTGTTCGTTGTTACACGAACATCGGTATTTCCAAAACCGAGTTTGAAATTGAATTAATTATGTGTTCCAGATTATTGGTACATTTAGTTGGCTACCAAGTCATGCTGGCATCAGTGGCATCTGCAAAGCTATAATACCGATTAACTGGTAATTGCAATTCGAATTTTCCGGAATCAGTTCACCCGATGAGATCGGCAATTTCCGTTACAATGATCGGTAATTTTCGTGATATCGCCAGAAATACTAATGATATTTGTATTTCCTTTACATTATTATACATTTATAGTTTTGAGAATGTCTATTGATCATATATTTGCATTTGCGTGACTTTTAAACCAAATACATAAAAAAATAGATTGGTACCGGCACTCGTTGAAGGGATAAACAAACCAAAATCATGGCGGACGCCGCTGCAGACGTTGTTCTCGACCTACAAACTTTAGAGCGAAGTCTTTTTACTCGAATTCCAAACCTTAGAGGGAAGTCTTCAGTTTGGAAACATTTTCAATTGATCTCTTGTATAATCACATCTGAGTCCTGATAGTGATCAATGGCATCGTGTCAAAAGAAAAGAAAACAGTAATTTCATTACCTTAAATCATGTGTTACACTTTCACAAAACTCATCGGGATTTGACTGTATTGCAGTACATATTGCAATACGCCAACACATATCACAATATATAGAGGATATCATATGAGTGCCCATGTCATACTATGTTTGCAACACGAGTGCCTAAATGTCGGTATTTCCCGAGCGAGAGCGAGGGATACACCGATATTTAGGCACGAGTGTCGTAAACATAGTATGACATGGGCACGAATACGATATTCTGTTTATTTCCGAAGTAGTCAAATTGAAGAAAATAAACCCAAATCTACATTCAAACATGGGCTGGCTACCCGCCGTCGCCGCATGTAGAACGCAACGTCACAGAAGAAACGTGACGTCATAGCATTATTCATGACCTCACGTCACCATGACAAAGTGATATTTTGCCCTAGGGCATCGTATGAAAAATATGAACCCCGATATGTTCGCCCTCGTAGGTAATAAGTCGCAATATATCGCAATACGAAAATTTGGCAACACCCGACCCTACTGGATATGCTGCCAGAAAGATTGTCGAGCTACAATCAACACCAAGGATGGTATTGTGTGACCAGCAAGATTCCCCTGTTCATTTTGATTTGGCGTTTAGATGAAGTGACTGATTATGGTTTTATGCTATTTTTCGCAAGTTGTGGTTGTGATTGTGTCTGGACTCGATTATTTGCAGACTGTTCTGTCGCTGTCCTTTTCCAAAATGAATGCTGAGTGCGGCGTTATATAAGAGACATAAGCTTCAAAGGTATCTCTTAAAGGGGTATATAAGGTTTGTTTCGATTAGCACCGAATACATACACTCTTCAAAAACAAGAAACGCATAGGTGATTTTGAGAATATTGGACTCATGTAGCTGCAACAAAAACATAACAAATACTATTTATTTCCAAAACGTCATCGTTGTGTCATTGTAAACAGCTTCAGCACCAAAACGCGGCAATTTTAACTTTCTTCCCTTGTTTTAGAAGCGTTTGAAGAAATATTCGCCAAACGTCGCCAAGAAAACATGCAAAGCAAAATGCACGTGCAAGTGAACAGAAAACTATAAAGAACTATAACGAAAGCAACCGTTGTGTTTAAAGTTGTCATTCGTGTTTGTCTGGAAAAGAGGAAATCATCATGCCACGACTGAGTGCCGTCAATCGAAACATTGCCATAGGCTGGCTTGAAGTTGGGGAGTGCCAGTCTGCAGTTGCCCGACATTTCAACATTCATTAGAGCGCCATATCTCGCTTTTGGGATCGTTTCCTGCAGATCAAATCCGCCCAAGATCGCCCGAACAAGAAGGCCAGTTTTCGCCCCCTGTTTTGAGAGACTTCCATCCCAGCAATTGCTTGCGGTGGTGGCTTAGAGTCCGGAACTGGAACCTGGAGGCGAGTCTGGTTCAGTGATGAATCACTATTTCTTCTTCACCGGCGAGAAGGAAACTCAGAAACTGGGAAACTCAGAAAAATACGGACAGCCTTATCAAGGAATAGACAATTGACAATCTTCATAGGATTTAATTAGCAAAAACAGTTTGGAGACGAACCCTGTTGTACAATCCACCACGTGACATGTGAACATACACTCGAAACCATTGTCATGTTATCAACACTATTGTTTTTATCTTTGAAATATATTCTGAATCCATGATGGATATTTTGTTTTGTAATTCAAGTAACAATTACATTCAAAGTACCCGTGAGGTCAATGGTTTTAAGCATATAATTGTACGTCATGAATACACAAAGCCTTTTAGAAAATGTTTCAATGTCAAGGGTTGGGTATGGCCAAAATTTATTGGCCATATATTGTGATATATTGTGATATGTGTTGGCGTATTGCAATATGCATTGCAATATATTGTGAAAGTGTAACACATGGGTTAAGGTAACGACATTACTGTTTCCTTTCTTTTGAAACAATGCCACTGGCCACTGTCAGGTCTTGATGTAATTGTACAAGAGATCAATAGAAAATGTTTCCAAATTGAAGACTTCCGTTTATAGTGCAGGCTATTGGAGTTTGGAAAAAAGCATCTGCAGCGGCGTCCGCCATTTTGGTTTGTTTATCCCTACAACGAGTGCCGGTACCATTCTATCTTTTTTTATTTATATTGTTTAAAATAAAAGTCACGCGAATGCTCAAAACTATTAATGTATAATAAAAAAACAACAACGAAATACAAATGTTATTAGTAGTTTTCACTACATCACGAAAATTACCGATCGTATCGCATGAACCGGTTATCGAAAAGTGTACCGCAATATATCGTATTATGAAGTTCGGTTTGCAATATACATGTAAACCGGTATTATCGCCCATCCCTACTAATGTCATAATTGTTGTTTTGGAGATTATGCTTAGTCAGTCAAGTACTGATTCTTGCACTTTCTTGGGAGTCTCATCATGGTTTCTGTATCCTTTGAACTGATATATGTGTGTCCTGAAACAAATTGTAACCGAAAACTATAATTGTCTTTGATCATCTGACAGTGCTTGCTTTGTGTTAAGGTGACATTGAGACTGTAGGGCGTCACCTGGTACCACATCCCACGGTCACATGACTGTCACCTGACACCACCGCCTGCATCAACCATGGCCTCTTATATCCCCACGTGTAATCTGATACCTGGGTCTCGTGCACTCTTTTCCTTGACCTTCACTCGCCGTCCAGCCTCAGAGAAGCATCGTCCCATGCAAAATGGTTTCTCCCTGCTTTCCAGTTTTGGGATTATTGCTGATAATCTTTGAGGTAAGTCAATGTATTTATTGAATTACCATGGATACAGGAATCTTCGCACATACGTACCATTTCAAATCCAGGAACCGCACTTCACTCCAGAATATATGTTACTCACATATGAGCATGGCAGGAAGACCCAATCCATCCACTTTTAATATCGATGTCCCTACATTACAGTCAGCAACCGTCCCTCAAAGCCATCTTTGCACTAAGATGATCGTAGCTCCGTAAGGGTAAAATCGCCTTGCTGAACAGGTCAGAAAGCAACCTTTGCTGCTTGGGTGACGTTATCTCCTGAACTCCAACACTGGCTTACGATCACCGTAGAACTAAGATCGCTTTGTGGATCGGGGGTCTGGTCCCGGATTCACAAAGCCATCTTAGCGATAACTCCCATACTTCAACGTTGGCTGTGTATTGGGAGTGAGTGAGTTGAGTTTTTACGCCACACTCTGCAATATTCCAGCTATATGGCGGCGTGTATTGACAAGTCAGTTGTACTGCAATATGTTACGATTCTGGTATTCCGATACGTATTGCGATATATTGGGAGTGTTTGACAGTAAGTGACACTGGTTGTACATGCAGAGCCTATTTTCCCTAAAGCCCTAAAAATAAATGTTATGGTTATGAAGACAGAAATCTCGAATTTGATTTTGAGGGATTGTAAATTTTGAATGCTGTTGTCAATTAATTATATGGAAAACGTCAGTGTGAATGAAAGTCTGTGTACATTTTAACTTAATGCACACAGATAATCACAAAACTTCATTTATTTTGACATTACCCAATATACCGGTCCTGAGATATATACATTGCAACACGTATCTTTTGAAAGGCGTATTGCGATGTAACGGCATTCCGATAATAACGTGCAGTCCTACTAATACATGACATTAAGCCTTGGTGCTAGTTTATAAAGTTACAAGGAGTTACAAGGTCCTTTTGGAAAAGCACTGACACCAAAGTGTAGGGTTCGATTCAGCTCATTGGTATATTGTGTCAAGGGAGTGAGTTTAGTTTTACGCCGCTTTCAGCAATATTCCAGCAACATCACGGCGCGGAACACCAGAAATGGGCTTCACACACCTTCACACATAGTCCCCATGTGAGGAATTGGACGCCGGCCTTTGGCATAGAGAGCGAACGCTTCACCCACTAGACTACCCCACCGCCCGATATTATGTCAAGACCGTCTTAGTCGACTAACGCAGTTTGAGAGGACATCTGGAATCTCAGTATGACGTATTCAGAAATTAAACAATACCGACAGTTCGTTTTCACAAAAAATGTCAGATATGAATTAGGTTCCATTGACAATATACAAACGTATGTGTTTATTGATCAATGCAGTTCCTGATCAGCTGTAGACTTCCTTTAATAGATGTATCTATTTTCGACGTATTTTTAAACGTAGTATATTTGTCGTTTTAATTTTTGGCTGCACTCGGTCACTATCGACAGTGATTGAGGGGATGATAGAAAACCAGCTTGGGTCCATGCAGGTAGGAAATGTACTGTAAGTCACTATTGTCCCAAGTATGGTGATCTGCCTCCAGTTGTTGGCAATCTATTGCCCGTTTTCATATTGCGTTGTTTAGAAAATATTATTTTGTGGTTATTTACTAGTTTTAAAATTTAAATCTGTGAAAATCGAAGTATATATACAGCGTTTAAGATTTTAGAAAGCATATCTTTTTTATGGTCAAGATATGGCTGAAATATTGCCGATATGACTCTTGTTCTTAACTCACTCCCGCCGCCATATAGCTGGAATATTGCTGAGTGCGGCGTAAAACTAAACTCACTCTCTCTCTCTCTCTCTCTCTCTCTCTCTCTCTCTCTCTCTCTCTCTCTCTCTCTCTCTCTCTCTCTCTCTCTCTCTCTCTCTCTCTCTCTCTCTCTCTCTCTCTCTCTCTCTCTCTCTCTCTCTCTCTCTCTCTCTCTCTCTCTCTCTCTCTCTCTCTCTCTCTCTCTTAGGTGAACCGTGCTCTGTTCAGGACATGAAACTATAGTTTTGTAACAGAATCAACAACTGGTACATTGATAAACATTAAATGCGAGCAGGCAGCTAGCAGATTTAGGCGGGATTTAAGTCTCGTCATTCCACGCAGCGAAGATCATAGCTGACCAAGGAATCATATTATACAGATCTAAAATTATTTTCCGAAAAGGACCTGCTGCGGGCATATTGTACATTTCGCTGTGCATCTCATAAATTGAAAGTTCAGTTAGATACATTTAAATGTTATGATAACCCCAATGCATTGTTATGTACAAAATGTGTCCTGGGCTGTACCGAGGACGAATTTCACTTTTTTTTTATTTGTCATTATAAGACAAGCAGAAAATTGTTTTACCAGAATATTATTATAATAATCCGTCTGTTAAAAAAGTGTATCAACTGATAGCATCCACTGACAAAAAACGTATTAAACCTTTGTCGTGGTATTGATATTGTTGTGAATGATAAACGGGCATGTGCCTGTGTGCAGCATTGTGTCTGTATTAGTAATATGGGTCACATGGCTCCAAATGCTAGTAAACGTGTCATTTGTCACTTGTCAGATCTAAAACAGCCTTTGGAAAAGTGGGAGTGGAACATCTCTATGCCACATCTCCACACAGACCCTGCACAACTTATCTGACCTGATAAGCACACTTTGATCATGTTCGAGTCGTGTTACAATGTTCGTCTTGTTATCAAGGGTTAGGTGCGCTCAATTACACCCAGTATTACATGCATTAGCGATGCTCTCTCTCCGTTGTCATATCAATCAGCAACGCCCTCTACCGCCCATCATTTTGTTTCAAACATGGCCGTCGTTCGAGGATGAAGTAAATGGATACTACTTTCGCATCGCAAATCCAATCTATATATGTCGATATCCATTCTCCTGTTGCACTAGCTCGAGATACTGGGACATGAGTTCTAGACATCTTCCTGAAGCATGGACTTTCTGAATAAATAAGTTCATTTTCCTTCCTTGACTAGACCCGTGAAGATCCGGGGTAGAATAGGTCTTCAGCAACCCATGTGCTTGCCATAAAAAGGCGACTATCTTGTCGTAAGAGGCGACTAACGGGATCGGGTGGTCAGTTTCGCTGACTTGGTTGACACATGTCATCGGTTCCCAATTGCGCAGATCGATGCTCATGCTGTTGATCACTGGATTGTCTGGTCCAGACTCGATTATTTACAGACCGCCGCCATATAGCTGGAATATTGCTGAGTGCGGCGTAAAACTAAACTCACTCACTCACTCACTCACTCACTTCCTTGACTACTTAGTCTGGAATTGCCTGGTTCGCGAGTTATGCCCCTTCTATGCCTCTTCTATTGGCCAATAAGACTCCACGTTTCAGAATGCATTTGCTTCAAACAAAACGACAGTCTGAAAGAAATACGAGTTATATCTCGCGAGGCACCTGTGTCAAATCTCTAGAACCAGCTGATAAAAACATTTGGAAATATCTCTCCACGACCAACACATTGCAAATCGTTCAAAACATCTAAATTTTTTACGGAATGTTCAATGTTGCTGTGTTGTTTTCCAACATGATGTCGGCAGTATTTTGCGATTCTGCTATGCATAGTCTATAATTTCGTAACTGCATTCTAGACGTTGGTGAGTCTATAATGCAGCATACGACTTTATGGATAACAGATGCTTGTTTATTGTATAGCGCGACGTTTCGGCGTAGATTCTTACACCGTTAAGAAACTAAGAGTGCTTGACAACTTGATAACGATGTAAGAATCTACATCGAAATGTCGTTCTATGCAATAAACAAGAAACAAGTCGTATGCTTCATTATGCAGAGTCCCGTTAGACACAACTGTTATTTTGGCGATTATTAATTTTATTTTATTTTGTGTGTATGTGTGTGTGTATTATTGTGTGGGGGCGATTATGCTTTCTCAGTCATGTACTGTTTATTGCACTTTCTTGGATTGGTCAGTTACCAACCGTGCCTCAGACAGATGAGTTCAGGGCGCTTCAAATGGTCAGTTAGTTACACCATGCTTTGTGTTACTGGCCGTCGTAAGCCTGAAATATCCAAACGTGTCATGGCTTAAAGTAATGCTACGTAGTCCCAGGTACAACACCCAGGTTGGTCGTCATGAAACATGTTACCGTGAAGATCCGGGTTAGAATCTGGGGATTTGATTGAGTAAATAATCATGAAATATGAAATATGTTAAAAACCGTATCACAGTAACGAGAAGAAGACTCTGAAACAGTGTACGTGCGGAATGCTGCCTGGATTGTACCTCGCCTGCGACAACTGACCACAACCAGACCAACATGCGTTCCTGTTATCAATGTGTGTTGATTTCACAGTCTGCACACGTTTATTGTCACTACAATATTTTCAAAATCACATTTGCATTGACAGTATTGTTTCTGGTTTATTTGAAGCATTGTTCTGCAGAGAATGCATATCTGGTATTTTAGGCAATTATTTTCCTCGTGTCATATTTGGCATAATTTATTGTCAAATTCCTGATTTCAGTTATTCACTGAAAGGTTTACCGCAATTATATTTTACGTCGTGCCAGTTCGTTTCAATAATAAGCCCGGCGGCCGTATGACGGTGTGACGATATGAATACGACGAATGAATTGATATCAGTAGTTCAGGTTGTGATAATACTCCCTCTGTTGATTCAACGTTTAGAGACAATATATATTTTCTGAAACGTCGTTTACCATGTTAATACAGACATGAGCTCCTGCCCTGTTCACCCACCAAAACCCCCAACCCCACCCCTACTCCACCCCACCGCTACCCCCAAGTAACATTCCTTATCCCCACACATGCAGCTTACCTCGCTGCCAGCAGACGTCCAGAATGTACTCACTCACTCACTCTCACCCATTTATTCACTATAAGTACTTATGTAGGCTAATAATAGTCGCATCTCAATGATATCAATACACTTGTGTTTACACGAAGTAAATTTGTATTTTCTCTTTGCAGGTTTCAGGACAAACGTTGCCCAACTACGAGGTGACAACGATTGCGGTAAGGATGATTCCGATCCTTGTCCCTGACTGACACTAACCCCGTTAATAGACCGGTGGTCCATTTTCAGACAAGATGACCTAATGAACGATTCCAATTTCGATTTCCACAATCTAGTCTAGGTTAAGAGATTAAGACTGACAAAAACAGATTGTCGTGATATGTTCAGTAAGCGGCACCGAGTCTGGTCAAAGTGTTCGTTTAGTTCCACATTGCAGCAATTATCAGTTGCCTGGGATGTTCTATTATTGTGGGGGCGGTGGGGTAGCCTAGTGGCTCGTCACGCCGAAGACCCGGGTTCGAATCCCCACATGGGTACAATGTGTGAAGCCAATTTCTGGTGTCCCCCGCCGTGATGTTGCTGGAATATTGCTAAAAGCGGCGTAAAACCATACTCAGTCAGTCAGTCAGTCAGTCTATTATTGTGGGAGAATCTTTCTAATTATATTACGATATCGTCGGTTAATGCTCCAATGACATTCATCAGACTTGTTTGTGGCACATTGATAGACAAACAGGTGTTTGAGCTTTAGAAACAAAATGCTATTTGTATACACAACCAAAAGACACAAAAGATGTTGTGCTATAGTGAGCAGATACACCTGAAACACGTGTGAAATGCTATTGAAGTTCTTTGCTATGTCGTCATTAACTGTACCGTGAAGTTAAGATATACCTACTACCCGTGAAGATCCGGGTTAGAATGAACCTTCAATAACCCATGCTTGTCGTAAGAGGCGACTAACGGGATCGGGTAGTCAGGCTCGCTGGCTTGGTTGACACATGTCATCGGTTCCCGATTGCGCAGATCGATGCTCATACTGTTGATCACTGGATTGTCTGTTCCAGACTCGGTTATTTACAGACCGCCGCCATATAGCTGGAATATTGCTGAGTGCGGCGAAAACTGAACTCACTCACTCACAGCTGTACTTACAATGAACCATGAACTGATAAAAAGCGTCGTCTTTTATATGATAGGCTGACTGGTTGATATTTGCATCCACTGTTAATCAATACAATATATATTCGAGAACACCAAGTTCCAGGGCATATGAGTTCCCCCGCAGCACACGACAAGAGTTGCAAAATGAACATTCATATGTTTGATCATAAAAATACCATGGTCCAAATTGGATACACGTAAATTAACGTCTGTCTCCTCGCATTGAATCTGACAAATATAAATTATTCTTCCACTGTTTTGATGCCTCTGATTGACATATCCAAAGGTCCTCCCTTGTATTATACGTCCGATCCTCTCACTGAATACTTCTCGTGCGATGGTGAAAGCGAGTTGTGATGCGTGTTGAATCAGACGTATCTTATTCTCATTTGAAACCTCTGAATGACATATGCAAAGGTCTACCCTTGTATTATACGTCCGATCCTCTTACAGAATGCTCCCCGTGTGATGGCGAAAGCGAGTTGTGATGCGTCTTGAATCAGATATATCTTATTCTCATTTGAAACATCTGAATGACATATCCAATGGTCTACCCTTGTATTATACGTCCGATCCTCTTACAGAATGCTCCCCATGTGATGGCGAAAGCGAGTGGGTCGGGTTATGAAGGTATCATCATTGACATTCTCCAAGAGCTCTCCAAGAGGGCCAACTTCACCTACACCATCAGACTTGTGAGAGACGGATCCTATGGCAGCCCTGTAAGGGGAGGAAATGGTACTTGGAATGGAATGATTGGGGAAATTCTTAGAAATGTACGTATATGTGTGGTCTCAGGAATTAGGAATTAAGACATCGAGTATGGATCAAACGACTGCATGTGTGTGTGTTTGTTGTTTAAAAGCCACACTGAGCAATATTCCCGTGGACCAGACACTCCAGTGATATGAGATATCAACACAAAAAGTCGATGGAAATAGGTGTATGACATTTTGAAAGAAGCGGTAATAAAAGGAGCGAAAACATTGATTTTCCTTGAATTCCTATAACAAATAATACATTGGATATATAAGTAAGACGTAAAGCTCATGAGTATGTCTATGTCTTAATGTCAAAACAGTTACGACGTTCTACGTTTCGGGAAGGTCAAGGTACTTCAGAGTTGACATTGTGGCAATTCATCTTTAACGTTTCCAAACTTAGGAGAGTGTTTAGAACGTTTTTGCAGAAGGGAAACTGTGTTTTTGCTGTACATACATATTGTTATCAAGGAAAAATGCTCGAATGTGGAGGGGCGGTGGGGTAGCCTAGTGGTTAAAGCGTTCATGCGTCACGCCGAAGACCCGGGTTCGATTCCCCACATGGGCACAATGTGTGAAGCCCATTTCTAGTGTCCTCCGTCGTGATATTGCTGGAATATTGTTAAAAGCGGCGTAAAACCAAACTCACTCACTCACTCAAAAATGTGGATTGAGTGGTTTCAAGGTTATATGATATTCTCATGCTATCAACCACTGCGTAGGCCTCATGTATTTTTACCAATAGTCAATCACTTAGAGATGGTTTTACGAATCCTATCGTCGTTAGAGGCGACAACAGGACATCCACCTTATTTAGGTTGACCCGTGTCATCGTCTTCAAGTTGTGAAAAAAGATTGAGTAAACAAGGAAAACGGGTAGTGGCTTATCTGTGATTAAGATAATACTCCTTTGAAAAAAGGTTTCCGAGTTCTCTCCCTTTGTACATATGATTTTATCATACCGTCAATGTTTGCCGCCAGGAGGCCCACATTGCTGCCGCAGCGATGACCATCATGCCGCAGAGAGCTGCAGTCGTGCGCTTCACGCAGCCCTACGTCGATGCCGGTCTGAGGATCCTTTACAAGAGGCCCACTGATTGGATGACCAACGAGCCCTTGTTTGTCCTTCTGTCAGTCTTCACTCCCGGGCTGTGGGTCGTGGTCATTCTACTCATTGCCGCCATTTCAGCTCTCCTCCACGTCATTGCTCGATTCAGTCCGCTAGAGGACGCTTCACTTGGCGAGAAAAAACGAGATAACGAGGGACTGACCATCTTCAACAGCTTCCTGTACACTTTCAGCGTCCTTGGATGGCAAAGTAAGTCTGATGATTAGATATCAGTTGATAACGAGAATATAATTCCTTCAAACAAAGTGCAATGTGAATCACTCAAAGTATAGAAAACTTAAGTAAAGGGCAGCGACAGTGTGGGAATCATTGTTTGTTTTTAAGTAAACACGATGACGTCATGTTATTGTTGTTGCCTTTGAGGAAATCACAAACCATGATCTCTGACCAGGTAAAATTAACTTTGAGAGTGAGCATATTTTACCCCACCTTTGGGCAATGTACCAGCAAAGCCACGGCAGAGAACACCAGAAGCTGGCTTGACACATTGTACCCCTGTGGGGAATCCAAGCAGTGTCTTGGCTCTTGGCTCTAGGCCCACCACCCCGACAAAATATGACAGAGCTACAGATAACCTTTTTGGTCATTGAGTTATGTACCCGCTTGCCTTCATCTCAATTGGGTATCCTAATTTTCCTCTGAGTAACCAAACAAATTGTACTCACCTCACTCAAAATCAATTGGGTATTTTGCCTTTTTCCATTAATTGTTAAAATATAATAAAATTTAAATGTTAGTGTTTGTTATTTATATTTGATCTGTAATATGAGAAACGATATGAAAGACTGCTAGTTGAGTGTTCATGTGCCGAAAAAGAACCTGTAAATATACCTCAGTTGCTTTATCTATCCACTGGTACTCAAGCTAAGATTTGACAGTTTTCTGTGTACGCATGTACAATCAAATTTATTGAGTATTTACAAAAATACAAGCGTACATGTACGCAACAGACGTAATAGGAATTGAGTTTCACATAAATATTTGCGTATTTTACGCAGATACGCAGCTTATCTGTACCTCTGAATTAATATGTTTGAAAAAAATAAACAAAAGATGTTATCCTTAATATGGCATAAAGTCGGGAACATACTCAAATATTTTGTCACTGAATGTCGGATCCATTGAAAGTTAATTCCACTGCAAAATAATAATCAAACTAGGACCTATCTACTGCTGGAACCGTTGGGTTAAATTTTGGTGTGATTACAACCAACGAAGATTGAAAGAAACCAAACGTACATACTGACTAGTACACTCTGAAAAACAAACAACATTGATGCACAAATACATGCATACATCTAAAATACATGCATACACCCGAGTGTGAAGTTGTGTGGTGTCACCCTGTGGAAGAGACTCGTTTCAAATGTAACCTGTCCCAGGAAGGAATATGTGATTTGGCTGTGAAACCCCTGGATCACCTGTGAGCAGGTTGTATCCTCCCCGGGGAGTGGAGAATGTTAACTGGAATACATATCTGAGCAACACTAGAATAGGTATAATGAAAAAAGAACGGCTGTGACAATATCTTTATTATTAAAGTTATTTGTAGCAGTGGGGGTGGTGGAGGAAGTAGTTGAAGTTATTAATGCTAAAAAATATTATTACATACTAGGTGCAGCAGCAGCAGCAGCAGTAGCAGTTGTATTAGTTGGCATTATTTCCATTATTACTTAGCAGCAGCAGTAGTAGAAGTAAACTTTAATTATTAATTGTTACTATTAAGTGAGTGGTAGTAGCAGCAGCAGCTGGAATGAATAACGTGTTCTCTGGATGTAAATGTCTGTATTGTCGAGGTATTTCGTTTATGGGGAAAATCTATTTCAAATTCATTGTTCGCGTACAATGTACGATAACCTTGGCTTGTTTCAGACTACACCCCTTCCCCGCGGTCATTATCAGGTCGCATCCTGGTGGCGTTCTGGTGGCTGTTCTCCCTCCTCACCATCGTCGCCTTCACTGCCAACCTCACCGCCTTCTTCATGACCAGAGAACCTAACGTCTCCAGGGTTCCTTTCACATCATTCTCAGAACTTGTCCGACAGAAGAAAATCACCTATGGCGCTTTCAAATACGGGTCCACCGAGATGTTCTTCCGGACGACGAGAATGCCCCTCGCGAGACGGATGTGGGCGAAGATGAATGCCAAGAACACCTTGATGAGAACCCTTGACCAAGGTATCAAAAGAGTCAGGGATGGGAACTTTGCATTCATCGTCGAAGGTCCCATGGCCGCCTATGCTGCTGGAAAGACGCCGTGTGACCTTACTGTCGTCGGCGAGCCACTGAACGACCGTGGCTACGCGTTTGCTTGTAGTAACAAAACCAACCTGTGTGGAATTCTCGACCAGAAAATCCTAGAATTGAAGGAAGAAGACTTCATCATCAACGTCACCAACAAATGGTCGTCAAGGGGCTGCAATCTCGACAAGGGGAGGGAACTCATTTATGACGGTGTGCCTTTCTTTGACTCTTTCGGCCGGAAAACCGGGTTACTGAAAGACAAGTCTGTGACCCTGAAGAGATTCGCTTCCGGTTTCATTTTCCTCTTCCTTGGAATATTCTTAGCTGGGCTCTGTCTTGTTGCTGAAATCATCTACGCCAAGAAGAGCGGTTACTCTGTCAATGTAAGTACACGATAGTCGGGCATAAAGTCCAAGAAACATTGTTTTTTCTTTCTAATGACAATCTACGAAACAAACAGTAAACTCCAAATGGATCCCCGAATCTAGACATCTTTCCAGACTTGAGTGGGGTTTGCCTTTTGTATTTCGATCTCTTCAATATGTGACGCAGACAATTGCCACATAATGCATTAGAGGGGGGTCAGTTAAGGTTGTTTCTTCGTCTTTTTAGAGAATTATCCGCTGAAGAATATTTTTAATACAAAGAAATAACACTTTATTTGAGGCAGAAAAAAGTATTTTCAATTTAAAGCACTCATATTAAAGATGTTTTTGAGATTCATACTGATGAAATATCGAGCAACAGTTTTGTAAATGAAATAATAATTAAACTTTTGACAAACTATTTTAGGAAATATAAAAACAATTTGTAAAAGTGATGAATAATTTATGTGGCATTGTTGTGTGTAGGTGCTTCCGAGTATGCGGACTTCAGACCAAGAACGAATCCAAGACTCATTCGACAGCGGCAGATAACTCTAGGATATATTTAGACAGTCCAGGACATTGAGAGTTACCTACCTTGAAGAACACCAACGCAATTATTTAAACAGCTGACGGAAAGAGGTGAACTGCGTTAGGAAATGATTGTTTGTATGGACGATATGTGTCTGAAAGTCTTTCTTAGGCCAATTCTTCTTAAATGGCGTGTTTATGCTATTGTGTGAGTGGATCAGTGTACATAGGTCATGAAGAATATACTAGTGCCACCTATCGATTTTGTTCATTCATGTAAATCCATATATCAAGACTAAATCTTAACTTGGCCTAGCAGGGATTGCCCTTGTATTTTTGTGTTGATGTGTTTTTAATGTGAAAGCTATATCCTCTGTAGGGATGGCCCTTTTTGAAAGTAGTGTATATAGGTATCTTATGTTTTTAGCTGTATAATCATTTAACCCATGTGATCCGTCATTAAGGAAAATATTAGTCTTCCGAATGTGAATAAATGTCAGTGATATCGTGAACACCATACCCAGTTATGTGTATACACAACCATCTAAATAAAAGTCTTGCACAGAACATGTGTTTTTTTTCCCTTAACTGTTGGCTTGTGAAGGATGACAGGTGAATCAGAACGTCGCATTCAAAATTTCAAGATTAATGCAATTATACGTCCGTGCGTGCGTGCCTGCGTTCATGCGTGTGTTACTGGGTTCAATATTTCAAGATTATTGCACTTATGTGTATGCCTGCGTGTGTACCTGCGTGCGAGTCAGCGTGCGCATGTGCGTGTGGATCTGGCTTTAACGCCATGTACGATTTCAAGATTATTGCTATTACATCAGTCTAAGTAAACTTAAGCTCAGTATTATTCGTTACACTGTGTGTGTTCTTAAATTATCTCACTGTTGGGGTTAGAGGATGTTAAAGTTTCAACTCGATCCAGTGGTTTCAGAATGTCCTTTAATCTTTCTTATGACACTTCTTCTACATACAATCCACACAATGAAAGAATAACAGTAACTAAACGTTAATTCGACAGTGACTAGACACTGGCTAGACAATGAATGCACAGTGGCTGGACAGTGGCTGGACAGGTTGAAAAACCGTACGTCCTCTAAGCCCACAACACACAATCCTATAACGCTCTCTTAGAAACTTAAAAACATGTCTTACTTCTTCAGTATCTTAAAGCTCTCTGCCTCTTTCTCACACTCTTTCATTCCACATGTGTCTCTTAAATTCAATGTCGGCCACTTATCGTGGTTGATCAGGTCAGAACCCATAGGACCCCACAAAGGCATTTAGTCTATAAGTCTTAGTTGCAGTGGTAAATCACAGCTGTCACCAGTCCTGGGAATGTAGCCTCGGACATCTGCTGGCAGCAGGGGCTGGCAGATTCTTATGTCTCAACTAATATATATAAACTAAGCATATGCAGCTTCTCACAAACAAACCCTCACAAAGTTACAAATATACTGAACGTCACTGAAAACGCACCAGTCTAAAATTGTCCATATTTTCATCAAGATGGATTTCAGCATGACAAAGATCAATGAATATACCTAACATGAAGTCGAAGGGCATGTCTAATTGATAAAATGCTTTAGAAATAAATTCCTGTCCAAAGTATGACTCTTAATTCCAAAATGCATCAACATGCAGCCACGCCATGAAGAAAGTGCGAATTTAATTCTGAAATCACATTACATTAAAAGCGGGTGTATGAGAACCGATTCTCATCGCTTCAATAACGATTGTGAAACGAGGACAGAGGTTAACACCTCACGAAAGAGAACGTGCACTAGGCATGATTCAGGTTGGCACCAGCAGCAGGGATATTGCTCGACAACTTGGACTTGGCCACTCCACAATCGTTAGGCTTCATAGACGACATCAGTAGACAGGCAGCACCCGTGACCTTCAATGACCTTGGCAACAACGTGTTACGACGCTCCATCAGGATCGCCATATTGACCTTGTCCATATCAGTGATTGAACAGTGCCGACTGCCAGGACTGCTGCACTAGTTCAATGTTGACGTGGGGGTCATCAGCGCTGACTCCATGCGATGCCGTCTACACGCTACAGGGCTCCACGCTCGACGTCCTTACGTTGGACCAATTCTGACTGACAGACACCGCAATGAGCGTATACAATGGGCTAACAGGCATTTTCAGTAAAGGTTACAACAATGTCATGGCGTGGTAGTCACTTCATATACGTAATGCTGACGGCCGCTTACGAGTTTGGCGTAGACGTGGCGAACGTTATGCTGATGAGTGTGCGGTTCAGACAAATCTTTGGATGGTGGTAGTGTCATGGTCTGGGGTGGAATAAATTACAATCACAGGACTGCCTTCATGTCTGTCTAGGGAGAGTTAATGGCCTTTATTACCGTGAGCAGATTCTTCAGAATCACATCGTATCTGTCTTTAATCACCACGAAGATGTCCATACTTTTCATCAGGACAACGCACGGGCACACACAACAAGACTTTCCATGCAGTATCTGGCCCAGCAACACATCCAGGTTATTCACTGGCCAGCACGGTCGCCAGATGTTTCCCCCATGGAGCACTTGTGGGACGAAATTGGTCAAAGTCTTTCGCGGCGACAACAGATGCGAAACATCCCGAATTTAAGGCATTTGTTGTACATACAAATAATTATATACTGAACATCATTGAAAACGCACCGCTTATAAAAGTTCAGATTATTAAAAGCACGTGCAAGGAATTGATATTTTTTGAGTGGATAATAACAGATGGCCGACTGACAAAAACACAGAAAAGACATATGTGTGCGCGTGTGTGCGTATGTGCGTGAGTGCGTATGTGTGTGGAACTGGCTTTAACGCTATTTAACTATTCAAGATTATTGCAATACAGATTTGTGTGTGCCTGTGTGCGCGCGTGCGTGTGTAATTTGGTTTAACGTCATTCACGACTTCAAGATCGTCGCACAAATACATATGTTTGCGTGTGTGTAACTGGGTTTAACTTCATTCACGACTTCAAGATCGTCGCACATATACAAGCATGTGTGCGGGTATCTGTGTGCGTGTGTGGTTCATTCGTGTGTGTGTGTGCGCGAGCGCGCGCGCATCTGTTTGTGTGTAGTGCTCGGTACTTGTCTTCCAATGATAGCCAATGAGCTACCATGTCACATTTGGACACCTCTCCCAGACACAATGTACACACCGATCTGCTCAGTTATCATTCCACATCTCCCGAAATCCAGGCAGGATATTGATATTTGATGAGACGCGACTGGCGACCGGCGACCGGCGACCGAGCCAGCCCAGTATAGGCTGACGATCGATGAACGAAAAGGTGTCTTATACGGTCTTTGCAAACTTTGTATCTGTGTCTCCCCAGTCTATGACCTACCCAGTAGAAGGCCAACTAGTGGTTGATGATATGAGTACTGAATGACGTCATCAATGCATAATGATGTCCTAGCGACAAGGTCACAGCCGGGAGTTCACAAAATGGTAATCCCAACCACTGTTGTCACCTAATCATCAATGAATCATGTCTCACGAACAGAACATCCAACAAACTCAAGCTGTAAGACATGGCTGAAGGATACAAGCTTCATTTGTGCAGGTCCGTGATGTTTGATCCAGACTTCTTGATAATGTTCAATGCCTGGTCAGTTGGACTTCCAGATACGAACGGGCGACTAACGGGATCGGATGGTCGGGCTCTGTGTCCTGGCTGACACATGTCATCGTATTCCAATTGCTAAGATCGATGCTCATGATCTTGATCACTGGCTTGTTTGGTCCGTACTCGATTATTTACAGACCGCCGTTATATGGTTAGAATATTGCTGACGGCGGGACAAACAACAAAGGAAAATGTCAAAGAAAAGGAAAAAGTTGTGCCTCATGATGTCAATCACTGGATGCTCGTCAAGACTCGATTATTGGCAGACTATTCTGCCGCTGGGCTGTTCCTAAATATGGCGTCATACAACAAAGGACAATACACGAAGTAGAAAGTCTACGTTTATGTGGCAAGGTGCACTTCAGTTGTCCCAGGACAAACTGAACATTCTCTAGTAGCTAACAAACATCAAAAGTCTTCTTACACGACACACGGTGTCACATTCAATCCAATGTCAGATCACAGGGGTACGCTTTGTGAAGCCAATTATTATATATCAGGTTCAATGTTGATATTATTGTTTTTTTAAATTCTGTCAAAAACCTGTCTAATGTATCCCGTTAGAATATATATTCAGTAAGGAGTTGCATTCTCCTTTGTAAAAAGAAACGACAGAACCCTTTCCACATCCGGGAGACGATCGTACAATTTTGACTATATCATGAGTATGTGTTTGACAACAACAAATCCAGTCTGGACCAAACAATCCAGTGATTAACACCATGAGATATGATGACAGAGCACGTGTTAATGAACCAGTATCACATAGTGATGATAGAAGGTATTTGCGAAAAGATTAGCGTATCCTGCTCCACCGTGGCACCCGTCATAAACACATGCAAAGGCTAGTCAACTGTGCATCGGGAACGTATGGTACAAGTCAAATTATGCATCGTTGTGTATTTTTTGTTTTGTTTTATGTCTTGTTTTGGTGGGTTGTTTTGTTTTTCTGGCGGGGGTTGTTTGTTTGTATGTGTTTTTTCTGGGTTTTTTTTAGGGGGGTTCTTTTGTTTTTTGGGTGGTTTTTGTTTGCTTTTTAAAAAATTGGGGTGGACGGGGGTGGGGGTGGGGTTTGTTTGAAAGCTTTACCGAGGCCTTGAATGTTATTACTTTAATCAACCATCTGAACCAAAGTCGTAGGATGTACGTTCCTTGAAATCTTGGTAAAACGATTGCTTGTGTTGTACCTCAAATGGTGTGAAATGTGATCAGGATGAAATATTGCTCGACATGTAATAAACGTTGACTATATGAATATTGAAATCATCCCTTTTGGCACATGTCCTTGTGCAGTTTTGTTGTCTTTATGAATGTGTATGCATAGAACTAAATATGAAACAGTTGAGGCTGTGTCCTTAGTGTCAAGGACCCGTGAAGATCCGGGTCAGAATTGATCTTCAGTAACCCATGCTTGTCGTAAGAGGCGACCAATGGGATTGGTTGACATATGTCATTGTATCCCAATTGCGTATATCGATGCTCATGCTGTTGATCACTGGATTGTCTGGTCCAAACTCGATTATTAACATATCGCCGCCATATAGCTGAACTACTATTGAGTGCGGCGCTAAAAAAAACCCAACTAACCTTAATTTCAAGTTGAGTGGACGGAAATTTTGGGATAAGATTATCTTTTAGAACAAAAATTGCGATTAATACATGTGGATGCACAACAAAACAGATTCGCAAGTAGGGCAGCACAGTTGGTGTCGGTGGGGTTGCATGCTTACTTTTTGTCAAAATGTTCTACCAACACATTTTACAGAGAAGCTATCATTCTTGAAACATGCTCACAATCTAAGACTCTATGTCTGTTTAGAAACCAATCATGTTTTAGAAAGACATCATGTCAATTTTATCTCTTTGGTACATACTGACGTTAATGAGCGACGCGGAAAGCCGATATTGGAACAACATGTGACGTTTCAATCAAGTAGCGACGAGGACAGTGAGTGGGCATGGCTTTGCTATGGTGACACCAGAAATGGGCTTCACACATTGTACATAAGTGGGAAGTCGAACCCGGATCTTCAGCGGGACGATCGGACGCTTTAACCGTTATGCTACCCCATCCCCCCAAGATGATTATAGGATTCATGTACATTTCACGTAGGTCACGACCTTTGTGAATAATTATTCAACATGGGCTTTCGGTGATAGATTTTCGGTTGGAACAGTTCCGCCAAACCATACGCGTCGCGTGCTGTTTGGCATGAGGGGAACCAGAAGCATCCAATATAATTGATCAAATTGACACATGGCCCCCAGATACTACTACAGCTGTTTTTAATAATAATATATCGCTTCATATGATAAGGCCGCCATTGACTGACTGAAATGTTATATCTTGTTTGAGTGCACTATGATTCAAATTATCGAAATTTTATTAGAAATATGTAACGAAATATTCATACTGGAGAACAGAGGAGACAATAATGCTGACTAAATGGATGTTGTTGATCGTTTCATATCAATTTCGTTTGATTTTACATAAATATTTCCCATGTTTGTTATGGAATCAATGATTTACAATCTACTATATTGCTGGAATACGTGCGACATTGAACGCAGGCGCGCCATGACACCCATGCTTCTCTAGTGACAGTACTGGAGACTAAATAAATAAACATACAAAACCATGACTAATCAGGGAACAGATACTTTTGTTTGATTACTTAAAAGGAATCTAAAAATCTTAATTCTTTTACGCACGATTGAAATTCTAGGACGCGAACAGAAGAAAAGTCTCAGAAATGAAGTTAAGTTTTACTACCATAGTATGACATTCTTTGTCCACAGTCGGATTTTCAGAGAAATTTGCAAAGCTATCCACGTTTTCTTGTGTTAATAATGATAGAAAAGAATGAGTGAACTAGACATATGATGGTCTGTAATTCATGCTGGTCTCGAAAGGCGATGTAATGGACTCGATGGTCAGGCTCGGCGGTCTTGTCGATGGAGGGACACCATACCCAGACGGCACTGGTTGATGCTCATAACATCAGTCACCAGATTGTCTGGTCCAACCTAGAATATTTAAGATATCAGTCAAGTTGCTAGATTTTCGAAGAGAGCGGCGTTGGACAACATCAATTTGTCTGTCCATATGTCATATACACACGCACGCACGCATTTAAACACATACATACAGCAGGAAAACGCTGAAAAGATATCTTGTAACGGATCTTTGGTAAGGTGGAGATCGAGTGGAGGGAGGGGTATAGATAGAGTGACCATGTCTTGTGACACACTACTGCCACACATCCATGAGACCATCTATTGTTTCTTATCAATCACGCGACGATATCGGTCATGTGGTGTCTCCGATGACACAGATAGTATCAGCCATCTTGACCCAGTTCCTGACATCTTGGTACGGAGCTTGGTATGATCATCCATCATGGCGGCACTACTGCTTGTCCTCACCCTTGTGACCAGTCTCCATAAGGTAGATATAACTGCTCAGTTATAGAACTGATGTCAGATGCAATTCCTAACTTGTACATTTGTTCGCATGTTCTTCTAGGTGACTTGGCTTTGAACATGCCCACCCGTTCGCGAACAAATGGTAAACACATGCTCACGATATTGTGGATATCGGAATTGTACAATTGACTTTGAGCAGAGAGCTCTCATATAATATATGATGATACTATATATACTCATGCCAATAATGGTTGTCACCCCCCTCCCAACCTCAATACCCGGACCCGTTGTGATCATGTGACTCATAGATTAAACAATGCAATATGTTATTCTTTCATGATTAGACGGTTGTATTGTCTTTGAAGATTTAGACATAATTTACTGTCACTTCTTTTGAATAAAACACATAGTTAAGATATTGAAAGACTCGAAATGTTAGCTCCCGAACTCAAGAATGTATTGCCATTTCTTGCAAATTTGATGTCAAGAATTAACTTAACGGGTATCCGGGTAGGGTAGGGTAATAGGGGGTGGGGTACCTGGGTAGAAACTTTGGACCCGTCACAGCCCTACAATGCACTATTGCATCCTTGTCACACTTTGAAGCATCTTTCTTCCAATACAATGCATCATTATTAAAAGGCGTTGATGCATCCTTTGTACAAGGCGGTAGCGCAATTTTGATAGTGAATGCATACACCCTTATTATATTTTCTATAATTCTTATCGAATGCTGTTCAATCGTTACAATGCGTTGATTTGCCATTCTTACAGGACATGTTAGCAACATATCACATGACATCACACTGTTGAATACGTGTTACAAGACACCTAATATGTCCTTTAAAACCCATGTTCAAATCAATCAAATAGAATCTTTATTTCCAATACTGTGAGTTCAAAAACACTTTATCGGTGCACACATGAAATATAATGATAACAATGAAAGCATGCACAGCACATATAATCTTAATATGACAAAATTAATTTCCTTTTTTCGAATGCATAGAATAAATATTTGGCATTATCCAAGGAAATATCTTCATTTTGGGATGATAAAAAAGAATTATATTTTAGTATGCTGGGAAAAACATAGAATTGCAAGAGATATTTATGTCTATATTGAAGATAGGCTGGACAGATGAGTAAGAAGGGTTATTTATTTTCAACTACACATGTTAGAAGACGTTGCTGTAACATTGTAAAGTGGCTATTACTATGGTAATTCTTCTGTAACCATGACGTATATTTCCTGTTTTCCAGGTCTCAGCTGCTATACCTGGCAACATCCTAGTGACAACAATCGAGGTAACTCTGTCTTAAGGAATTCTTCACAAAAGGGACGACTTGAAACCCTTGTTGGGTGTTCGAGTCATGATTTCCCTTTATGTACTGTTTAATCTCACTACAACTCACCTCACACTGAAGAGATTACACAAATTTTACAAATGATTTCACTCTATAATGTGTAGTTATGTAAATTATCGTTCTCCCTACTTTCTCTCTATCACTCTGATTCTTTTTATCACTTCTCCCTGATTCTCTCTCTATCTCTATGAAACACCTGAGTATGCTGGTAACAAACTGAAAATCATACTTATCGGTTTCGAACCCACGCTTCTCTCTCTCTCTCTCTCTCTCTCTCTCTCTCTCTCTCTCTCTCTCTCTCTCTCTCTCATCTCTCACACATCCTAATTCTCAAAATAGGTTCTGCATCACCCAAATCTTTCTCTCACAATCTGTCTCCTTTTGTCTCTCTCCCTCTTTGGGGCAGCGGGGTAGCCTAGTGGTTAAAGCGTTCGCTCGAAGACCCCACATGGGTACAATGTGTAAGGCCCTTTTCTGGTGTCCCCTGTTCTGAAATTGCTTGAATATTGGTAAAACGGCGTAAAACTAAACTCACTCACTCACTCTCATAATATACTGGTGTATTTTTTAATCAATCACTGTTTCATTCAAACTTGTTTTCACATTGTTAGTCAAGTGACATATATACCCTATACAATTTACCACAACGATTCTTTCAGCATTGGCCCTTCGTGATGCCCAACTATAGGCTTGGGGTGGGCTTTGAAGGCATCATTGTGGACATTCTCGACGAGCTCGCCCGGCGCTGCAACTTCACCTACAACCTCGACCTGGTGAAAGACAACACCTGGGGGAGACAGCGGCCGGATGGGACGTGGACGGGGATGATCGGAGAGGTTATCAACCATGTACGTCACCACAGTGAGAACATTGTTTAACCGTACTATTTCATAACCCACTTTTACCTACACACCGTGAAAACTTACATGTAGATTCATAGATTCGTTTAACATAGATTCATAAGTAATACTTTATTTTGTTTGTTGTTGAAAGCCGAATTCAGCAATATTCCAGCTATATGGTTGCGGTAAGTATATAGTCGAGTCTGGGCCAGACAATCCGGTGATCGACAGCATGGGCATCGATCTAAGTAATTGGGATATGATGACATGTGTCAACTAAAGTCAGCGAGCCTGACCACCCGATCCCGTTTGTCGCCTCTTCCGACAAGCATGGGTTACTGAAGATCAATTCTAACCCGGATCTTCACGGGTGTAAAACAATTAAGATAATGGTCACTACGATAGATGCATTTATGTCAGTACGTGATAAAGCCGATCTGTTGTCCCACAGGAAGCTGACATCGCTGCCGCCCCTCTGGTCATCCTGCCCTCCCGGTCAAGGGTCATCCGCTACACCCAGCCATACCTGTCATCAGGGATCCGTATATTGTACACCAAGCCTTCTGATTGGTTGGCAACACACGCCTTCTTCCTCCTCCTCAAACCCTTCACTCTCTGGATGTGGGGCATCCTTGCTCTCATCCTTGTCATCATCACCACCCTCTTCACAGTCATCGTCCGATACAGCCCATACGAGAAGTGGTCCTTTATCCTCGGCACTGAGGATGAGGAGCCGGTGAGGGAGAGGTCACTGTCCAGTAGCATCTTCTACACGCTGAGTACTCTGATGTGGCAGAGTGAGTAGAATCTCTAGGACCCGTATGTAGTTCACGGAACTTCGCGAGAACTTACGTTTTTAGGACTTCCGCTAACAAACAGCGTTTCATACCTTTGCAAATGGTCTCATGGTTGTCAGTTGACAGTAAAGAACCGATAATAGTTGCAGGAATAACAAATTTCCGTTTTACCCGTCCAAATATTACGACTGTCAACAGTTGTGACAGCCAAGCATGGTTGAACACTTGGTCCGGTCTAGTAAAGTAATTTATGGCGGTTGCGCAATTTGAAACCAGTACTGGACACGTAGGGGCTCTATTCCGGAACCTTCATGGTCAAAACGGGCAATTTCTTTGTCTTTAATGCCTGCCCCTAGCCATTCAGTGGTGTGATATGTCCCTTGGAAGTGTGAGAAATCGGTTGGATCTTGATGATTACGAGATTGACGCGTGGCATCAAGTTGTTTGCTCATAATATCAGTCACTGTTTGTCTGGACCAGTAAATGCGGAAGCCGACTTCTCGAAGAAAAAGACGTTTATTGTCATTTAAGACACCGGCCAACGTTCAGAGAAAACAGAATATGTAACAACAAGTATTGAATCGCCTGGAATATACAATAATTTTTCAATACATTATTTCCTAAGATTGGTGCATGCTTTGTGAAATAATGGTGTCATTTCTAGAGGTCATATAAGAAGGGAAAGCAGTTTATGGTGGTTTAGTTAAGTGCCGTTTAGGTATATTCGGAATTATCAGGTTATTAAGAGTAGGACATGGAAAGACAACGTAGATGTCATTCTCTATGACTCTTTTACGTAACATAGTCCTTCCATTCTGATCATTCCCTCCCTAATTTGCTTCTGTCATTGGTAAATAATTTTGAGAAATAAATCTGAATCTAATTTTGACACATAAAGATATTTTCTATGTCAATCCACGAGCCCTTCCGTTTCTCTCTTTCGGAGCTTGTCCAAATGCATGGGCACAATGTGTGAAAACAATTTTAGGGGTTCCCCGGCTAAAAGTGGCGTACCTCTCGCCTGAATGAATGTATGATTCCCATTCCAGGAAGCCGTTGCCTGCCCAGATCATCATCCGGCCGTGTGTTGACCTCTGTCTGGTGGCTCTTCTCCATCCTCGTGCTCGTGTCCTTCACCTCAAGCCTCACCGCCCTCTTCCTCTCCCACGAATCCAGTATCTACAGCGTGCCCTTCACATCCTTCGAGGAACTTGTCCAACAACAAGATGTCTCCTTCGGCTGCGCCAAGAGCGGTCACATCGCATCATACCTTCAGACGTCCCAGGAACCGTTAGCCAAGCGATTATGGGAGCAGATCAACAAGGACGATGCCAACCTGTTTCAAACAACTGCCTCTGGTATCGCGAAAGTTCGAGAATCTCGTGGCACCTACGCCCTCCTTATGGAAGGAATTATGGCTGAATACGCGTCTGGAAGTCAACCATGTGACCTTATCACTCTCGGACAGCCCCTAAACGATAAAGGATATGCCTTCGCGTGTAATTTGCACAGCGATATATGTAACATCCTTGATAACAAAATCCTTGAAATGAAAGAAGAGGATGTGCTGTTGAGGATCAAGGAGAAATGGACCAACAAGGGATGTGATGCTATCAAGGGGAGAGAACTCGTGTATGATGGTGTTGACTTTATTGACTCTATGGGGTTTAAGGGGTCTCTAATTTATGATAATCCTGTCACAGTGCGGAAGTTTGCAGGTGGACTGGTTCTATTCCTACTCGGCGCTGTACTAGCCGTTGTCTGTCTGTGCGCCGAAGCTACCAGTTCTAAAACAAACAGATATGTAAGTATATGATCATAACAATGATATTGAAGTGAAGATTCATAAGATTCTGAGTTGGGTTTTTTTGTTTTTTTTCGGGTTTGTTTTTCTTTTGTTTTGGTTTTTGTATTCAGACATTACACAAGACTGTAGATTGTAGATTGTTACGGTCCTTTTCAAAACACTGCTAGATATTTGTGCATGTTATTTTACGCCCCTCTCAGCTGTATTCCTGCTATGTAACCACAATCTGTAAATAATCAGACAATCCAGTGATGGGCGTCAGGAACATCGATCCTCGCAGCTGGGACACGATGGAATAAGGTTGGATCATGATATGCAGTGATTAATATCAGGTTACTTTGACACGCAATCAACTTGTCACTCACATGACTTCCCGACTATTAACATCACCTCCTGCGGCCTACATAGTTTGATACAGATCAGTCGCAACCCGAAACCAGTGTTTATGTGTTTCCCCGTGTGGATAACTTCATTTTGAGCTCTGAAAGCGAAATCCCGTGAAACCTAAATATTTATAAAGCTGCGTTTTAAAATACTTTATATTTCTATTGTTTGTTCGACAGCGACTTTGGGCCCACGTAGGCGCACGTAGAATATCCACTTCCACCTTATCCCTCTCAACCCTCTCCAATCAGTGTGTATATAATTAAATTTTGGCCACCTGGGAAGGTTCTCGCACTTTGGACAGTTATGAATATACGTCATGTCGTAATTTAGAACGGGACGCTATTTAGAACTGTGCTATTTGCCTCATACTAGTTGCCTCTTTGATGAAAGCCACGTTTGTGAATTTTGCGGACAGGCAATGGAGTTTTCCGTTGGTTAACTTCATTTCGAGCTCTGAAAGTGAAAGCCGTGAAACCTAAATATTTTTTAAAGCTGCGTGTTACAATATTTTTTATTATTATGTTTAATTTTTTATTTGTTTCAGACATGGAGACGTGAAGCTCTGGTGACTTCATTTGACAATCCTAATTTGGCTGTAGAACGCCATGTCCAGGGCAGCGAAACTGACCTCTAGTTCTGACAATTATTCCAACAGAAACGTCCTGCATTTCAACCGTGCTGGAAAGTACGAAACCATTAATGTTGTCACTTTTGTAGCATAAAATATTTTTTCAGCGAAACTTCTCGTTGCTTCGAATATATTTTCGTTGCTTCGATTATTTTCTCGTTGCTGTGGTTATTTTCTCGTTACTTCAAGTCAAACACTTTTCGAGTACTTACTCGTTACTATGTTTTCTCTCTCGTTACTTTGCTTATGTTATCTTTTCGTTACTTCGATCATTTACTCACTGCCTCGAAAATTTTCTCGTTTCAATTTTTTTCAAAACTTGAAATTTCAAGTATTCACTCGTTGCTTCGAGTATTTTCGGGATTTTGAAGTAACGAGAACATATTGGACATTTCAAGCTTTTGAAAGAAACTTGAACCAGCGAGAATTAATCGAATCAACGAAATAATTGAAGTAACGAGAAAATGACTGAAATAACGAGAAAATACTCGAAGTAACGAGTAAATAATCGAAGCAACGAGAATTGTAGCCGAAAAAAATATTTATGCCACAAATGTGTCAGCATTAGGCTTTCGTAGCAAATAATTATACAGACGGAAATTTCTTCTGTAAAAAAATACAAAAACGTTTTGAATGTCAGGATGGTTCCATAATTATTAATGAACATGGGAAGAAGTTCGAGAAAGAATTATTGTAATAGAACAGATTTGCAGTTTATGGTATATTTCATTGCCTTTACCTAGGATTTGGGACGCAGTTTACTCGTAATCAGAATGATGAATGAGATGTAAACATTTAACCGTTATGCATTATGTGTTATTAAATGGACTTGTTGTTAAATTGCTTTAGATTTTGTTGGTGAACCAGATACGTGGGCCAGATATGTACGTTGTGCACACTCACTCACTCACTCATTCCCAAAATAGAAGCAAACCAAATGTCAATTAACGCTTATGTCAGTTGTGTTTATCGTATTTCTTTGCTTTAAACGGAGCCTTTGAGTTATCGAATCAAAATAACTCCAAGTAGCCAAATTGGCAATGAATGTGGTTTAACTTTGGGTTCACGATTATTTCACATATTTATCGACGTGCTTGCATGTGTGAGTGCCTTAGTGTACTTGTCCCGACAAGCCAACCAAGATACCATGCCGCACTCAAATGTCCACTCATATACCGTATACCAGTCCTTGAGTCATTGCACCCGTGAAGATCCGGGTCTGCAGGAATCCATGCTTGTAAGAGGGGACTAATAGTGGAGCAGATAAGTGCACAAATAGTTCACTTAATCATGCAAGCATGAAATTTGGCACACATGTTCATTGGAGTCCACTCTTTCAAAAAAGGCCACGCAAAAATCCAAGATGGCTACCATTTTCAAGATGGCCGCCGTCTACACTAAAATTACTAACAATTCCTTTGTAAGTTGTAACTACTTCAAGTAAAACAACCTATTTCAATTTTTATGACAAAATGAAGTTGTTTTTATTACAATACCGAAACAGTGCATAAATAAAATGGCAGTTTTAGCAAAAAACAGTCGAAATTGTACCTGAACTAACCACTGCACCCAGAATAACAAAGAAACTACACTTCACATTTGCAACTGCACAAGGCTGTGCATGTGAGATCACGCCGGTAGCTTTTGTACCTGCCACGACAGCCAGACTTGCAGCCACACTTAGGGAGCTGTTAACAAGAGTTTGCAATGGGAGAGTTGGCTGTCCAGAAGGTTGTCCATTCTTCGCCAGTCTTCTCCCATCCCCAGTCAGCTGGACTCTCTGCTTCTGGCTGGCGCAGTATTGCCTGAGCCAACACACAACGTGCCTGATAAAGTTATTTGCTGCACATTTAGCTTGTTGAATAAGAGCTGCTCTGGTTGGAGGGATGGCTTCATATGGTCTCTGCTTTCTGGCAAATAAGTCGAGTCTAGCCTCATTCACACCATCTACAGTGCTAGACCTGTCATACATGATGACCACAAACTTCTCTAGGATCTCCATGTCATCATCCTCAATGGTTGGTGGATGCTGGCTCAGTCTGGCAAATACTGATGTTGCCTCTGGGAAAATGTCCCATGTTTGCCAAGCTGTCCTTTTCCCTTTATTCATAATAACTGACACCACATCACAACCTGTGAAAGCATGGAAGAACAACATGTCTTTGGCCTTCTCTTGACCAACAGAGGTGTGCAGGTTGTGAAAGCCAATCCATCGAAGGCTCTGACCATGGCCAAATAAGAGCCACAGCTGCTGCAGACCCATGCTTTGCAGTGTTGGGAACATACTCAAGCCACTCACGAGAACATCTGTGTCATTTGCTTTGATTATGATGGATTTGCTCCCTTGGGTTGCAGCATATCTGGCATGAACAAAGATGCGGCTGTGTGCCTCCTCATGAGAACATTCGTCCAGTTCAGTCAGACTCACTTTGTGTGTGCCAAGTGCATTGTGTCCCTTGGTCACAATATTCAAGTTTGGTGCAGACATCTGGACAATCCTGTCTGCCAGGAAGTGAAACAGCTCCGACTTGTTGTCATTGTGCCTCAGAAAGTTGTGCCAGTTTGAAGGAATGCTATTCTTTTCTGTCACCGTGCGTCTCACTCCTTGTCCTCTTTTGGACCTTATGTCTGCTTTCAGACTTAATGGATTGTACATATCAAAGACAACATGTGTTGTCTTGTATGTACTGGCATATTCATTAATAGGTGGCAAAAGTCAAGGGCTGCATAATGTCAAAATGTCTTAGACCTTTTCGGTGGCAGTGCATAGATCAAAGCTGAACCATCAATGATGGTGTAATCTGACTGGCTCTTGGTCTGGAGGCGTGATGTGTTTCTCAAGTATGGAGGTCAGTTGGGACTTTTGACAGCTATAAATCTTTCCACCATCACTTAGAGATGCAGGGAATGATTGATTTTCGTGCTGAAAGAACCCCTACAGGTCGCACTCCCTGTTCTGACAGGAGATGAACAGCTTGTAAAACAGCTGACAGTCTTCCTTCAGCTGTTTCTGTTTTGATGGTTCTGTAACAGGCTTATCTTGACAGAAGAAGATCAAGTCTTTGCTTTCTGAAGGGCTCATAGAATGATGTTGGATTACCTTCCAATCTTTTCACAAAGTTTTGGTATTGTGTGCTACCTTTCTGCAAGTGAGTGGTGAACAAGCTCCGCAGAGCTGGGATGAGCTACATCTTTGGTGTCTATTGAAAACAAATCCACACTGTCTTCCTCGAAAGGGCTTCCCAAATCTTGCTGGACCTGAGAGTTTCTGGACCCTTTCTAGGAATGTCTTCTGGGCATGTGGTGTCTGCTCATGGTGAAGCCAGTGCTCGCTGGCCTCTTTTGTTTGTGCCTCCATTCCATAGAGGAACACCAGACGGCTCACCTCAGGACCAGAGACCATCCATCTCCTCAGGGCTGACGGCTCCACAGCATTGGCCTGCTCATTGGCCTGATCAAGAGCAAGCGCTGAGAAGTCACGCTTGGTCATGTGCACAACAAAGTTGCCCATCTTGAAATCCTGCGCCAATGCTGCAGGGTGCTTACTTTCCAAAGTCAGCATGTCCCTCAGATGAATAGGCAACCATCGGGCATAATTGGTGTTGTTATTGGCAAACAAGTATGGGATCAAATCCCTCAATGCCTGACAGTATAGGCTGAAGTTGGCTTCACGGAATGATCTGATCAGCACAAAGACTGTAAGTTCCATTGACAACACCAAGTGCCAGAATTGAAATTGAGGACTTTGTTGGCTATTGGTCTGACACCATTCCTCAAAGCCCAATACGTCTTCATTGATATCTGCTTGTTCTATGCAATAACTGTTGTAGGCACATTTTAGCAACTTGTAAAGGCTGCATGCAGTAACCTGGTGCATTTGTCGTGTCTTAGTGACACTGGAAGCTGCCAGAAATGAATCTGCAGTGCCAGAAGAAGCCACACCTGCTTCCAACCACTATCCTTCAGCAGAGAACCCAGAGAACGAAACAGAGGCACATTTGTGGCAGTCATGGTGTAGCTATCATGTTCTGGAACATGATGAGTAGGAGGTGAAGTGAGATTTTCATTTTTCTGTTCTTTTTGACATAGGCAGCAGTGTGTCCAGTCAGTCTGCCTCTAAGTTATGACCCGATTTCCACATTTAATTTAAGGCCGATTGTTGATCATTTACCACCTTAATTAAAATATGTAATAGCGCACATTCATGTATGGGATACAACTAGGTTTGGTTGCCCTACACCTAGCCCGACCATTCATCCAGTGCCATTTAAGTCCCGTGTGATATGTACACCATCCGGGTAAGTTCATGAACAACTCATGTAAAGCCCCTTACCCATGGCTCGGCTGTCCCTCGCTGGCACACCCTGTCAAATGAGGCGTGACCGTCTAACTTTATCTACTAACTAATTGATATGGGACTATTGGACAGCATTTGGGACACTAATCTAAACTGCACTATTCCTGATACTATTCTACTACAATAGAGTTAGTAAAGCTGGGAGCGGCATTAGTAAAGCTAGATCAGCTGACACTGAACCCCACAGCAGTGAAGTCACCAGTGTGTCCTGGTTGTGCACTGACATTCACTCTGTTAGTATACCAACACCTTGTAAATAATGTTTACATCCTTTGATAAAAGTTTTAGATCAATTAGAATCTCTGACCCCCAAAACTCTGTAGATGAAAAAAAGTCATTCATAGTGACAGATGCTGAGATCAGATCAATACTAATTTTGGCCGCCATATTGGACGCCATCTTTGTTTTAGTACTTGGAATTGAAAGCGTGACAAAATAAACATCAATAAATGAATAAACTGGTGATTGAATGGGATTATAAATCATTATAAATGCATCATTAACATTCCTGTTCTCAATGCTGATGCAATTGGCCAATGGATGGCACCCATCTTAAAAAAAGAGGCAGCCATCTTGGATTTTTGCGTGGCTAACGCCCGTTTATTAAAGCGTGGTCCTTTGAGAATGTATGTGCCAAATTTTATGATGCATGATTAAGTGAACCATTTGGGGTCATTTTTGCATTTATCTGCTCCACTATAACGGGATCGGATGGTTAGACTCGCTAACTTGGTTAACACATGTCATCGTATCCCAACTGTGTAGATCGATGCTTATGATGTTGATCGCTGGGTTGTCTGGTCCAGACAGCCGCCATATAGCGGGGATATTGCTTATGCAGCGTCAAACAACGAATAAGGGAGCAAACAAACACAATCTGTATTCTTGCCATTGTCACCGACTGCAGGTTAGGGAAACAAGTGCCATACACTAAACGCCAAAAGAAACCTTATCCTCCTTCCCTAAAGACAGAGGTACCTATCTTCAGCTGGCGTTGTGATGCGTGGACGTCCACTTCTTGGTCTGTCTACGGTGACTCCAGTCTCTCTGAAGCGTTGAATAAGTCTTATCACCGTGATACGGTGGCATCCGTGGGCGTTGGCAACAGCATTGTATGTCGACCCCATCTGTATGTCGACCCCATCTGCACCATCCCAATGGCTCTTTCTCTCTCTTCAGCTGTTAATCGTGGCATATTTCTCGTACTTGTGTATCATATCATCTTTTCTAGGCTCTCTTCATACCCTATAGAATCATTCTACATATGAAATGGATGCAAATACTGTTTGAATATTGCTGCGTTTTGGCGTTTTGATATTGCTATGTGTAAACAAAAAATGGAAATTTTTTACTTTACAAGCAACAGTGTTAAAGATCATTGTAGAAATTCCTAAACATTTTTTTCACAGTATCAAACACACGTTTTACTTGTTTTCACTAATGAAAATCAGCAGAACATGTTCTAAAAGACTGAAATCCTAGGAATGATTATTTTACAATTTTACACACTCTACAACAGTTGTTTCCTGTTTTAATAGTTGAAAAATGGTGATTTTAAATAGTTTATATTTGTCCCAAAGCAGAATTTAATTTCAATCTTTCTTTTGGGCATCTAAATCACTGTTATTGGTTTATTTCGGCATGGACGAAAATAGGACAATTTAACTCTTCTGAACAAAATGCATTTCGCCTAAATATGAATGCATTTGAGATTTTATTTCGTGATTTGCATAAACTGTGTTGTTAAGCTTTCTTGTAAACTATTACCTTCTAAGATATCTTTGATAGTTTTAAAGTAATTCATTAAGGTAGGAGGGTAAGGTTTCTTTTGGCGTCTAGTGTAGTTTGTTCAACTGTTCGTTTAACGCGGTCAGGGGATCGAACCACCGATCTTCCGCCCTCTGCGAGGACACTCTATCTACAGGACCATGGAGCTCAATTCTCACAGGGATGTGAATGGCCAACTGGCGGGGAATGTTGCTGTGGCTTACAGTCAATGTTTTGCCTGGGTGGGAGGTCGTTGGTGCAGAGTTTACTTGCTCCGCCTAAGATCCGGGTTCGATTTGTAAAATATGTAAAGCCAATTCATGCGTCCCCAGCCGTGATATTGCTTCATTTTTGCCATAAGCGGCGTAAACCCATACCCGTTCACTCACAGGATGGCATATAGTACCTCAAGGGATTAGAGGTAAGAATATACATGTGCATCCATGATAGCAAATTATATCGTTCGGCATGAGAGGCTTGTGACGTGGTTTACTGCATTTCATGGCGTCAAAATAACGGCGCTCATAATATTCACCACTTGATTGTCTGACTGAATTTAGCGACAACATTGCTGGAATCGTGTGTTATGGTTTACAACATACATGTCTTTGTCACTGTTCAGTCGGTAATGAACTTTCACACTTTATCAGGATAAATTTGGTCATCGAACCCATTTTCTCCTGGATTCAGGAAACATCCTTTGCACAGAAAATTAAAGCTCGCCTCTCTCAACTTGTTTGATTCCATGTTACAAACAAAACAACACAAAACGAATTTGACCACAGTAGTGTTACTAAAAAAGATTAAGATGGTGATCATGCAAGTGATGAAACAGAGGACAAGTGTATCAACTGATTACTAGTGACGGTGTCCTTATCGCTCAGGGCCCCGTTCCTCAAGGCGATCGTAGCGCTACGATGATCGTAACTCCCATACTTTAACATAGACTAACGACTGTCGTAGCGCTACGATAGCTTTGAGGAACGGGGCCCTGGGCATGGTCTCTTCCTCTCATGGCGTTGATCACCTGCTGGACAATAGTGCCCCCCTGGACTAGTCAAGGTCTGTTTAATCCCCGTCAGGGGATCCTTCATGTTACTAGATGTCTGAATGGCAATGCATCCTCCCAACGTCATCCGACGTTTGACGTCATCAGCCTGTTGACGTGTACTGGCGTGTATTGACGCTCACGGTGTACTGGTGCTAACGTGACTTTGAGACGTCTGTCCACACTTGCCTCGTCATGTGTGTGTGGACCCATCACGTCTTTACAGACTGTTCCAATGATTGTAAAGCATTGATTGAAATGAATTTTAATACTCGTGTTATTAGAAAACTTCTCAAATGAAATATACCAATCTAAAAATTATGTATCGTTTTGCTTTTCTTTAATGTCCCTTAAAGACGTGGTATCGTTTCTTTTGGACTTTAGAGATGCATATCATTAAATTTTGGTCATCCGCAGAGGTATCCATTTCATCACTTTTTTAGGAGAAGCATTAGTTATTGAGAACAAATTCAGCCATTGAGTCTTTTGGAGTTATCTAGTTATCTCCACTTTGAACAGTCATGCATATGTAAAACGTCGTGATTTAGTTCGAGAAGCTCCGCGCCGTTTGCTCAAACCTCTGCCTCTTTGGTGATAGCTACGATCGTGAATTTTGCGGACAATCAACGGAACCATAATCAGGTCGAATCTTGGATTCCATCCACAATTCATTGCTATGCGTAGCTGACACACGGCACCTGACAACCAGCTAGTTGAATCCAATAATCTATAATATTAATATTTAACTTATAAACCTAACCCTCCGCCACATAGCTGGAATATTGCTAAGTGTGGCGTTAAACAACTAACGAACCTATAAACTTAATCAACAATATCAGTCGCAATTATGAACTATTTAATAATATGTAAGCCTCGAAATTTCGAGTTCTGGGAGTACACATTCAATAACAAAAATATAATCGCATTTACTCTCTCACTCATTTACTTTATACTGGATCAAATGAGTTTACCCCGACAGCCTTCTCGTATATGCCTGACATAAATGTTTGAATTCCATGAGACTTCAATGTCGAGAAGACATTTTAAAAAAAGAACGAAGGCAGTAGGCATTGTTATTTATTCCACAACTGATAACTGACTATGTGCAAGGGGGCAACGGTTGTGGTGGCGGGGTCGGTGTTGGTGCCAAGGAGAGCCCCACCGATGTGGCCGACGACGGTTTGTCCAGCATCTACGACGGTCTGGGCAATCTTGTTAGCGGGCTCCGTCATGTTGGTGAGGATTTGCTCTGAAAAAATTACTGGGTTCATCACTTGATTTTTGCTCACATAGGGTAAACACCTATCATAACCTGTAACACAAAAAAGACTCCACGCTCATGAGAGCCACTTACGATGATGACACCCTCTAACATGCAGGAGGTTTACAATCTTTTACTTCTTTATTACAGAAGCATAACAGTGGTCAAAACCTTGGTACACAGAATCTTCTCGATCACTGCAATATGTTACACACAGGTTGAAGAATCATCAGAATCTCGTACACGCAGAGGGTTTACAATCGTCACAACCTCACTCACATACAAGCTCCACAACCATTACAACCCTGATTAACCATCACAGCCGCTGCCACACAGAAGCTTTCATTACTAACCTTTCTGTATTGAGACAGAAAAATCAACACAATCTCCGACACAATCATCACAACTTATTACAGAGGCTTTACAATGGCTTTCATTGTCATCCAACCTCTTACACAAAAAGATTTTTGAAACAACACCTCTGATACAGAAGTGCTTCACAATCATCTCACAAGAGGTTTAGCAATCTCAAAACCTCTTACACACAATTTATGCTGTGAACTCTTCACAACAAGAGATGCAAAGTCCAAACAATCTATTATACCCAAAGTGCGTAAAGTCAAAACAACGTTCACACACAGGAGCTGCTATGTTAAATCCACCCATCCTTATAGAACTATGTCCAAACAACCTGTTTTTAGCATGATTGGTTGGTTGTTTAACGTCACACTCAGCAATATTACAGATATGTGGTGGCGATCTGTAAATAGTCGAATCTGGACCAGACAATCCAGTGATCAACAGTTTTACGCATGTCTCACTTATCTAACGGCTGTAATGTCAACACATCCCTGGGACACAAAGGATTCAAGTACGACACAACCTCCACACAGCGGTCGTACTAGGCAACGGGAAAAGCTGCAATGGCAGCACATACTCCTTCCACACAACGTCTTCCTCGAAGGTTACATTCAACTCTTATACACATATTTACAACACATGAATTGATATGAGATACTGTTTGGATACATACGTAGGATGTCGCCACATGCGTTGGAGTTATAGGCTTTTGCACATATCCGCCACACAAGGGCTTGATGGTCGACACAACACTCACACCGAGGGCTGTAATGTAAATACATTCCATGCACACAAGGGCTTGAAGGTTGACACAACCCTCACACACAGGGCTGTACTGCCAATACATTCCAGGCACACAAGGGCTTGATGGTTGACACAACCCTCACACACAGGGCTGTAATGTCAATACATTCCAGGCACACAAGGGCTTGAAAGTCGACACAACCCTCACACACGCAGGGTTATAATGTCAATACATTCCAGGCACACAGCGGCTTGAAAGTCGACACAACCCTCACACACAGGGCTATAATGTCAATACATTCCAGGCACACAAGGGCTTGAAGGTTGAAACAACCCTCACACACAGGGCTGTAATGTCAATACATTCCAGGCACACAAGGGCTTAAAGGTCGATACAACCCTCAAACACAGGGCTGCAATGTCAATACATTCCAGGCACACAAGGGCTTGAAGGTTGACACAACCCTCACACATAGGGCTGTAATGTCAATGTATTCCAAGCACACAAGGGCTTGAAGGTCGACAGAACCTTCACACACAGGGCTGTAATGTCAATACATTCCAGGCACTCGAGGGCTTGAAGGTCGACACAACCCTCACACACAGGGCTGTACTGCCAATACATTCCAGGCACACAAGGGCTTGAAAGTCGACCCAACCCTCACATACAGGGCTGTAATGTCAATATATTCCAGGCACACAATGGCTTGATGGTCGACCCAACCCTCACATACAGGGCCGTAATGTCAATACATTCCAGGCACACAAGGGCTTAAAGGTCGACACAACTCTCACACACAAGGCTATAATGTCAATACATTCCAGGCACACAGTGGCTATAATGTCACAATACACTCCAGGCACACAAGGGCTTGAAGGTTGACGCAACCCTCACACACAGGGCTGTAATGTCAATACATTCCAGGCACACAAGGGCTTTAAGGTCGATACAACTCTCACACACAGGGCTGTAATGTCAATACATTCCAAGCACAGGAGGGCTTAAAGGTCGATACAACTCTCACACGCAGGGTTATAATGTCAAAACATTCCGAGCACAGGAGGGCTTGGAGGTTGACACAACCCTCACACACAGGGCTGTAATGTCAGTACATTCCAGGCACACAAGGGCTTGAAGGTCGACACAACCCTCACACACAGGGCTGTAATGTCAGTATATTCCAGGCACACAAGGACTTGAAGGACGACACAACCCTCACACACAGGGCTGTAATGTCAATACATTCCAGGCACACAAGGACTTGAAGGTCGACACAACCCTCACACACAGGGCTGTAATGTCAATACATTCCAGGCACACAAGGGCTTAAAGGTCGACACAACCCTCACACTGGGATATAATGTCAATACATTCCAGGCACACAGTGGCTTAAAGGTAAATGTCAATACATTCCAAGCACAGGAGGGCTTAAAGGTCGATACAACTCTCACACACAGGGCTGTAATGTCAATACATTCCAAGCACAGGAGGGCTTAAAGGTCGATACAACTCTCACACGCAGGGCTATAATGTCAATACATTCCGGGCACAGGAGGGCTTGGAGGTTGACACAACCCTCACACACAGGGCTGTAATGTCAGTACATTCCAGGCACTCAAGGGCTTGAAGGTCGACACAACCCTCACACACAGGGCTGTAATGTCAGTATATTCCAGGCACACAAGGACTTGAAGGACGACACAACCCTCACACACAGGGCTGTAATGTCAATACATTCCAGGCACACAAGGACTTGAAGGACGACACAACCCTCACACACAGGGCTATAATGTCAATACATTCCAGGCACACAGTGGCTTGAAGGTTGACACAACCCTCACACACAGGGCTGTAATGTCAATACATTCCAGGCACACAGTGGCTTAAAGGTCGATACAACTCTCACACACAGGGCTATAATGTCAATACATTCCAGGCACACAAGGGCTTGAAGGACGATACAACCCTCACACACAGGGCTGTAATGTCAATACATTCCAAGCACACAAGGGCTTAAAAGTCGACACAGCCCTCACACAGAGGGCTGTGTTGGGCAACAAAAAAACGTTGCATTATCTACATTTGGACCACATCACTTCCACGCCACGTCTTGCACAACAGCTAGACACATATTTACAAAACATTGGCTACACTCTGTGTAGAATACTGTTTGGATGAAGTACGTACGAAGGATGTCGCTGCCAGCTTGCTTCAAGGCGTTCATGGCGTTAGAGCCGTGCATGACGAGGGTGCCGAGCTGGGTGCCGATGTCTTCGATGTGGGGTTGGAGCTTCTGTCCCAGTTGGGCGACGGAGTCTTTGGCTTTTTGGAGGAGGTTAGTAGCCCCGCACTTGATTGCACCTCCCGCTGTAGTAGCAATCTATAGGAAAAGAACAATTGAGGCATTTCAGGCCCTTTAATGGTTGCCATTGGTTGGGTAATTTATAATTAATCCAAACCAACACCTGGAATATCCGAATAAAGTGTACACCACTGTAACTCAACGATGCAAAGTGGGGGATGTAAAAGTACGAGCCCAAAAATGCGGAATCTATCGAGCAAATCACATAATTCCAACCATTCAGCCACCGATTAGCACCACTGAATCTTTGGAAGTCAAGTCATTGATTCGCTGACGTGAACATTTGTGTCTATTGGTATGTTTCTATTCACAGTCGTTTACTCAATCCTGCAACCATTACTCTCGTCTGATCCCTAACCGACACCTTCATCATGTCACATTAAAACTCATTATTTGTCGACCCAAATCAATCATCCAATGGCGAATAGATAAGTGGCAGGTTCATGTAGTCATTCCTTTACTCCTTCTATTCCATCATCCACCCATTAGATTAACTGATTCTCGCACCCCAAAGCGTTTTTCAATTTTAAGAAAATCACTGAGGAGACACGGACAGTCTTGACACCACCAACCGTTGGTTTTAAGGATTCGAAGAAGTCTGTGAAGGCGTTCCTCCTGCTCTTGGTGAGGCTGGAGATGACCTCATCAGCCTTGTCCCTGGTGGACCTTAAGAAGGCATCAGCAAAAAGTTTGTGGTTGTCTGGAGACCCAAGAATTAATTGTTTTAATAATGTATACCTGCCAAGAAATAATACCAATCACCTTTTCTATGTGAATGCTAATTGATGATCACAGTTTTATCACACCTGGTATTACTCCATGTTTATGATACAACTGGAACCGTACAATGAACCCATGTGGTTGTTTGCTAAAATTTGCTATGTAGGGAAATTTTAAAATTGCAACATACCCAATACCCAACAACCATGAATAAAAGTCTTAAAATATATGTACAGTAAATGTAGATTGTTTTACCTGAACTTGTACAGTTTTCCTGCTCGTTTCTGTATATTCTTCACTCGATATGTTTTACAATATTTTCAATGGATTTTGAATTTGTTATGTATATAAAATAATCGAAACATTCCGGATATTATAGTTAGTTTGCTAATTCAAGACCTTCACAAAAAAACGGAACAATTCACTTTTGACAAACAGCAGTTTCCAGTTTGTTCTGTTTCATGGCACAGTAGTCAACTTACTGACTAGCTTGTCGACTTCACTGATGACCTCCTCGGGGGGTGATCGCCAGCTTGGTCAGCTTGTCCATGACGCCCTGCAGACCCTGGACCAGGTAGCCGAACACGTTCTTCATCTCACCCATCAGAGTGTCCACAACATTGTGGAGGGAGGACTCCACGTTCTGGAGCATGGGAGGAAGCCTTCAAGAAACAAAGGGAATTGGATGAGGAGGGATAAGCCTGACAACGGAGTATCTGTAGATAAACGTTTACGGCATACATTCAGGTGGGTCTTCGAAACACAGTTCGTCTACAACTGGTCTGTCTCCTCGTCCCTAGAGAATAAATTGTATACTATGCACAACGTTATGTTAGATTTGGAGAGTCTCGATTGTCTCAGCTCAGATCCTGAAGTTTAGGATTGTATTGGTCTCCATTTGAAGTTTATAACAATAGATATATATTTTGATATAAAATAGCTGTATTTTTTGGAACTAAATGTCACTCCCTACTGCACCAACTGTTATACAAAAGCCAGTACATCAAAACAATACCCTTCACAATGGGAATATAACATGAATCAGTGCCTTTACTTACTGTATGTCTTGAGATGATTTTCCAAGAGCATTTGCATTATTCAGAGCAAGGGCTGAAACAACGATCAAACATATTTTTGATAATCACAAAAATAAGAAGCATGGTCTTGTACAATGCATATTGGCCTTCAAATATAGTTGCATAGCTATAAATTAATACTCGTTCCCAAATATTAATCTGAAAACTACCCAACGCTTTAAGTACATGGCATTTCTGGATAAGACAAATGTAAACGGAGTTGTTATCCGCTTCCTTTGTAAACATTTGTAAGGACGCCTTTAGCAATATTCTAGCAAATCTTGACGGGAGACACCAGATATTGGCTACCCACATTGTACCCATGTGGGGATTCGAACCCGGGTCTTAGGTGTGATGCGCCAACGCTTTAGCCACTAGGCTACCCCATCGCCCCAACGACGTTTAATGAATGAAACGTTTTCAATTATTCAAACTCTGCCCAAACTTTGGACAATCACCAGTAAATAAGGTAAATGTATAAATCCTGCTTGAGTACCATGAAGGAAGCAGAGGTACCGTAAATCCCCATGGACCTAAGCAAGGTGACTTATAACCCCTTTCTTACCTTTGTATCGTAAACAATAGTCTGTTTGCAGTGAAAACGTACCGAATAATTTCTCTTTAAACAAAAAAGTAAACAATCAAATAAAGTGAAATGTTATCCATGTACGAGGCGGTTACACCAGGTACTGAGTTAGCCAGCCATTGTGGACCTTACTAGTGTGTTCAACATTAATGAAATGTGAACTGTGTTGTGTGTCTGTTGTAACGACCCCGGAAGCCATACTTATTTCAACTTATTTTACAGTGATCTTAGTGAACTTTAGTTTGCCAAAAATAAACCTTCAATTAGTGCTCAAATTCGGTCTTGTGTTATCAATTTTCTCACTGAACACTCACATGAGGCCATCAAAACAGTTTAATTCGCTTTTCTAAGCACCATTTTTATGAGGTTGTAGATCCAGTTTTACTTAGTGAAAAAGTGGGTGGTGCGATATTTATGACAAGGTGTATATAATCTTCAAAGCAATGTTACACACTTATGTCTCTCTCACAGGGTCAATTGCAGAAAATTCGATTTGATTCGACTTCCATTTTATAGAGTAGCATTCAATGTTTCCTAGAATCCCCAAAGAATGGGATCTTTTCACCATCAGTGTAAATCCAAGAATGCTATCTCATGCTTTATCACTAAGGTGACCGTAATGTAGCCCCTCTGAGTTCACAACAGGAATAATGGACGATTGGTGGTTTCACTACACATACCATGTTAATTAGAAGTCATCCCAGGCATTGGTCAGACGCGCTGGGTGTGGCAACATCCATTTTATTAAGTGGTGCTGGACACATATCACACAGACAGGAATGTCTTCGTCAACATGAATCAATGGGGCAACATTAGAATTGTTATATTACATACTGGACACTCGTCTCTGGCGCACTGTACCGTTGCTGTAACCCGTTGACTTGTCTGAAACCTGTGGCCAGGGTTCCAACCTAAATTTCTTTACGTGCGTTCCTTGGCTTTCCAGGACCGTGGGCTTGGCCAAGTTTTAAACCTCGCAAACGTAATTTTTGGGCTTTCCATAGTGGCGTCAAATCAAGCTCACTCATTAACACCGCTACATTCTTGGAATGTAATTAAAGCATTCGCCCGTCAAGACAAAGACACGGGTTAGGCTCCCAAATTGAATAACATGTTTGAAGTTAGGTTCAGGTGTCCCTCACTGAAGTGCATGTGTCCCCCGCTGTGATCACGGAAAACATACTCTCACTTTTACAAACCTTGAATTCCTTGAGATATAAGGGTCTTCCCTGCTGTAACGCTTGCATTTAGAAGTTGAACTCCAGTCGTGTCCAGTTGGTGCACGATGCTCTGTCCAAGGGTCTGGAAGATGTTGGTGAAACCTTGACCGAAGAAGTTGTCCTGGGCCGTGGCAAGAAGAACAGCGGACAGAATGAACAGAAACTTCATGTTGCTGAAATAAAATTACCGATGAAAGTTGTTTCATCTGTGTCACACAAAGCAATCTTGACCATGTAACGGTATACATTGCAATTGCCGATTGCCAACTGCTAACAGCATACAAAAAAGAGAAGCCAGAAATTTTATATATTAATGAAACAAAATCATAATATTTGTCAAAACCATTCAGCAACCTGGAGAACAAACTAGTTATTTTCAGTTGTTTTTCTAAAATGTCAAAGCTGCTCCTTCCAAGCCCCAAGCCTAATGGTTAAAGGGGCAGTATAAAAGCGATGGCAGTTGGAATCAAGACCTACGTACCTGGTGGTTCTGTCCGAATCAGAACTGGAATAAGGATGGGTCAATGTGCCTTTTAAAGTTTGAAATCACGTGACTTTATCAGTGAATTTTTACTAGAATTTGTTCGAAAAGTGTCATATGGACTTGGAGTTTATCTGCACTGTTTTATTGACACATGCTGACAACCAAACTGCACTGCCATATGCTGTCATAAAAAGGTACAGATTTAGTTCATATGTTTCGTATACAACCGCATTTCAGCGCAGTAATCTTTACAAATGTGAACTGAAAAATGAAATATTTAAGTCACCAATTCATCATTGGTAAATGACAGAGTGAGAGTTTGTTGAAGGCGTGGGGAATGGTTTTCCAATGAGCGTGTTGTTGAAAGAGGCTCGTGGGATGATCCAAGCATCATGGTGTGGGTTGCAATAGGTTTGAACCATAAAGTTGGCACCATGGTGTTCCAGAATGAGGAAGTGGCGTGACAACTGCTCGCTATACTGACCAAGTCATAAGACCCCACGTTGTACCACACTTGGACGTCACAGAAATCACATTTTCCAGCAAGACAACGCTCGAGTCCACACTGCCAGAGCATCATTGGACTTCCTATGACAACATGGCATCCAAACCCTACAATGGCCTGCACTCGGAATTAAGTCCAGTAGAACACCTTTGGCCCGAGATTCAAAGAAGACTGAATGACCTCCAGCCAAGGCCTACAACTGCGGCTGGACTCGAACAGGTATTTAGCGGAGTATGGACCCAGTAGCCTTCATCAACCGGCTAATTCATTCCATGTACAGATGATGGAACGCGCGTCATCGATGCTCATGGAGCCACACACGATACTGACTGACTTAATGAAACCAATTAAGGTGATTTTGTCTGTGTGAACTCTAAATGTGATTTTCGAATTGTATTGTGAATTGTGATTTCCGAACCATAATTGTCAAGTTTGAACTCAGTCTTCAAAGTTTGATTGTTAATTATAGTGAAATATAGTGTGTGTTTTAAGAAGCCTCTATCGGTGCGACGTTTCTTTGCGGTTCAGTATATTTATAGTACCCAAAAGTCTTGCCAAAGTATAGGCACTCGGATCAAATAAGTTATCTCTCATTGCTAAAGATCCAGAACAGGATCAGTGGGTCAGGTTGACTGACTTGCTTTATGCTTGTCATCGTATCCAACTTTGTGTAGATCGATGCTCATGATGTCAGTCACTTGCATCTGGTTCAGACTTGTATATTTACAGATTACCACCCTTTACCTGAAACATATATGTGGCGTTGATCATCACTATGTAGATGGTGATCCACAGAGTGGAATGTGTACCTCGTAATGTTGTTTTGTTAATGTAATGTTTATATTTTGAGCTTCCAACCTCTGTGAGAAGCCAGCATAAGGATAGTTTCAACAGAACAGATTTGAAGCTAATGGTTGATTCCATGTGTTTTGTGACTGGGTTAACAAGTCACAGAGCTACAGATAGCATATAATTATGTAGTTGTTACATATAATGTGTTAGTGAGAGGATTTCTTGTCACATTGTTGTAAAATCAGCAGCAAATTACGTTGTTATGGAGAAGTGAGCCCATTTAACACATCTTGTATATGTACGCTGTGCATGATATCTCGCAAAATTATCCATGATACATTTCAATCTTTCGACAGCCACCCACTCAACTCACTCGCTCATCCCAAATTACACACAAGCGTAAATGTCAGTTGACACATGTTTCTAAAGAGTGAGTGAGTGAGTATGGTTTTACGCCGCTTTTAGCAATATTACAGCAATATCACGGCGGGGACACCAGAAATGGGCTTCACACATGTTACCCATGTGGGAAATCGAACCCGGGTCTTCGGTGTGACGAGCAAACGCTTTAACCACTAGGCTAACCCCCACCCCCACCCCACCACCCCCGCCCTTTTTAAAGAAACTTTGTTCATCATATGTGTTTGCTTTGAACGGAACCTTTATGATATCAAACCACTGCCGAGGGTTCCAACACATACTTCATGTAGAAAATCGCCAAGTTACGTCACTCTAGGGTGTGTGAGGATATCTCGTCATGAGGAATAGTTTCTTGTGAGCCTGTCTTTGATGCTGATATTAGAAAGATCCTTATGTCCAAGATAACACGTTGTCACCTGGGTCCTGTGCCCTTTGTTACGGTTAATAATTTGCCATGACAAAGGGTTTAAGAGTACCCTTTGAACCAGCAAAATGGAACACGGACAAGTCATGTGTTAGTCCCGTCACACAACTCAGCAATCATCCTTTATATCGCTCTTATGCAGTTCTCGAGCATTCTAGCAAAGCTAGGCTACATCATTATCCTCTCAGAACGTTAAAGGACGCCATCGAAAACACAAGACACCACGCGAGACCATGGCCAGCACCAGGAACCAAAACAAATACACAAGGCAGCCAAGGGCAGGTAACTACAAAGCGCTATCTCAAAAGACGTGCAGCTAAAAATTCTATTGCCATTGAAAGTACATGATGCGAGATGTGAGTCAAAATCCACACTCAAAACTTTAAACTCTGTGACCCATAATACTGTAGAAACTATCAGTTATTCAAGGTGATATTACAAATTACAAAAAATCTCTGGACACTCTTCTACCCACAGTCACCAGTATTGTCAACAAAAGTTTGGAAACTGGCATCTTTCCCTCCTGCTTCAAACCCGCCGTGATTAAGCTTCTTATAAAGAAGCCTTCACTAAATTCTGAACAGTATTCCAGCTCCCGACCAGTTTCAACTTATCTTTGTCGTATAAAGTGCTGGAGAAAGTTCTGAAACACCAGTTAACTCGACACCTTAACAAATTTCAGTTAATGAACAAGCATCAATCTGCATACAGAACATCACACAGTACAGAAACAGCTTTGGATTGTGTGTTGGACAAGGTCATTAGTGCTGTCGACTATAATTGCATTGCATTGCTTGTTATGCTTGACCTTTCGTCTGCATTTGATACCATTGACCATGACAGGTAAATGGATCGGCTGCATACCGAATTTGGTATCTATGGAACAGTTCTGAAATGGTGCCTCTTATACTTGTCTAACAGGACTCGGTACAAATTGGTGAGCTCCAATCATCTCCCGCAGTGCCCAAATGCGGCGTACCCCAGGGTTCCGTGTTGGGACCAGTCCCCTTCAGGATGTATACCAAATCCTTGGGTCACCTTATATCACAGTACCGGGTCATTAGCCACTTCTGTGTTGATGATTCGCAATTGCTTGAGAAATTGGATCTGATCCTCCACCATACACGACATGCAGTTGTGCTATGAAAAATATTGGAGTCTACTTGGATAGCAGTCTCTCCAGAGTCTCCAGACTCCAGCATTCGCCACCAACTGACCCAAGATACCACTGCTCCACTTGTTCGCTCCCTCATTCTGTCAAGATTGGACTATTGCAACAGTCTGCTTACACGTGCCTCCAAAACCAAGATAAAGCACTATCAATCTTTCCAAGTAAAACTGTCCGTCGTGTTACCCTTCCTAAGCCCTCCTATGACGTAGATTTCGTTCTGGATTCCTTGCAATCTGTTAACTCCACATCTCCCTCATACTTGTGGGATCTCCTCGCACCATACACTCCTGCTCGTGCCCTCAGATCCAGTAACCAACACCTGCTGGTACCTCCATCATTCAACCTCAAGACATTTGGTGCCCGTTCTTTTGCTTCAGTTGCAACCGCACTATGGAACTCACTTCCACTTAAACTACGTATATCTCCATCCCTTCAAGTGTTCAAGCGTAACCTCAAAACACACCTTTTCAACAGATACAAAAACTAACTCTCTCCAAGCTCATATTTACGACTATCTTCTACCATACTGATTCATGTGACTTTTGATGTGCATGTTTTTAAAGGTTTGTGCGCACATTGAGTATGCCCCTTTGTGGCGTGGAGCATTGTGCGGTATAAGCACTCTCATTGTTATTATTAGTATAAATAGTTCCAAATAGCCAATGATTTTTCGAAAAGTGAGTGAAAGGAAAATGGGATTTAACGTTGGGTTCTAGATTATTTGCCACGTATATCGGCTTGCTTGCATGTGTGTGTGTGGTTTAGTAGCCCACTGTGACAATGTCCTAAGAATACTGATACCGAACGGTCACGTCCTATGATTTATGCAATTGTCACAGACCGCTCATTCACATACATGTAATCTCTAAATACACACGCCTACACATGTATGCCCATTAACACACGTTAGTAAATGAACAGGTTTGATAAATTTGTCTTTGCCTTATTTGTTTGCTTTTTAACAAAATCCTGGTGATTTCGAATCAAAATAGATGCAAAATTCGGCTTAACGTAGGGCTTAATATCATAGCGACGTGCTTGCACGTGTGTGTGTCTCATCTGGACTTATGCCACTATTAGTGCCCACCCAGTAGCTTTGCTGCACTTCAACATACATCATTACTCAGGCATTATACAGACATAAACGGGTTGTCCTTGGATCATGACAGTCAGGGAAGCAACAAGTACCATAGTTTAGCTTCTTTTGGAATGTTGCAATCTTGGATCGAATACCGACCTTCCACTTTGGGCAGAGGGAGGTTTACTCACCCAGGACTGAAGAGATCATTGTTCATCATCATGCCCGAAGGACGAAGACTACTTCACATCTACAGATTATGCAGACCCTGTGACGGTATTGGACCTGTGGGATTTCCGGGAAAGAATAGGTTTGCAAAGAAACAAGTGTATCCTGCAAGGGGTGATTATATGGATCAGATCGTCAGGCTCTGTGACTTGGCCGACTACATGTCTTTGTGCCAAAATTGTGAGGATCGACGATCATGATGCCAGTCACTGGATTGTCCAGTTATGACTTGACTATTAACGTACTCCTGCCATATTGCTTGCATGGTGCAGAGTGTGTAACAAAAATTAGTTTTTTGCATCTGGTTTGGTGATGATGATTACGCATATCTGGCCTAAGGGCTTTATCTGGGATTCAAACTCACGACCACAGGTTTCTGGCAACGCACATGT